CAAGATCATGTAGTCCAACCCCTGCTCAAACAGGGTCAGCCTAGGCAGGTTGCTCAGGACCATGTCCAGTCAGGTTTTGAACATCTCCGAGGACAGAGATTCTACAACCTCTCTAGGCAACCCGTGCCAGTGTTCCATCACCCTCACAGGAAAAAAAAATGTTTTCTTACTTTCAGATGGAATTCCATGTGTTTCAGTTTACGCCCACCGCTTTTCATTCTCCCAGTGGGTACCACTGAGGAGAGACTGGCTCTGTACACAAAGCTCTGTAGCAGCAACAGAATACCTGTTCCATCCTGTGAGATGGCTTAAAATTTCCATGGAGAGAATCTCACTTTCTTTTATAGTATGTGCAGCTTGGATGTAATTTAAAGAATTATCAGGTCACAATGGATAGTATACAACAGGTTTTGTCCCATTTAAATAAAATCTACAGAGCTTTTTCATAACAGTAAAGCCCTATAGTAAACCCAACTGGACCAGTGCAGGGCCATAAGCTCTACCATGCAATGGTCCATACTCTTTAATCAGTATCACACTCCGTTGAACAACCTGGCCAGCTAGCATTCTGCCAGGTAGTCTGAGGACAGTTCAGGGAACAGCATCAGACTGTTTCCAATATGAAATTCAAGTGAAACCCCTTGAAGCTCACATATGGCATCTAAAGGGATGCTATGTGTGAGCAATACTGTGTCCCTTGCCTTGCAGGGACAGAGATTGGGCTTGGCCCATTTTATTTATCAGCACAGACAGACTCTAAACGTATTTCATAAGCCAAGGAAGGTCAAACTCATTATTAATTGCTGTGATTACCTATAATTAGCATTTGAAACCTGCTGAAATTGAATGGGAATGGATGCGGTCACTTACTCCCAAGTATATTGTACCTTGAATGAGAGGTTGTCCCACTTAATTCAGTGTGGGCCCAGGATTCAGCTTATGACTAGTGGTCTACCCTGCAACTTTTTATTTAATGAAAATGCTTAAGACATATGAGTCTCTTCACTTCATAACAAGTGATCTTCATGCAGGTGGCTGAAGTGTGCTTGGCACAGCTGTGTAAGCCAGGGGTGTCAGCCCCACTCCTCTTTCTGGTAGCTATCAAGGCCAGCAAAAGCCCTAGTGTAGATGCTGTAATACTAGAGATAGTTCAGAGAAACTCCCCTATCTCCACAACCAAAAGAAACCTTCTGCTTGCATTTGCAGGATTTGCTGAGTTAGGTCTCTTGATCCATCTACTGGGAAATGTTATTAGTGTAGACAAGGCCCAAATTCAAACAGAATAATAAAAATTATTTCAATTTCTCATAAGAAAAACGAGGCTCTTTTCCCAAACGTACTGCTTCTCCTTAACAGTGAAAGATCTTCATCACACATGTCCTGCAGCATGTTGTTCTTTCCAGATACGGGATTTTGCTGGGAAGTTGTGACACAGTTTGCAGGAGCACTTGCCAGCTGAGCAATGCTTTCACTACTGCTCCCCACACTCCTTAAACACGCATGCTAATTACGTTACAGGCTGTCTGTATGGAGCAATGTAAGGCTGTAGTATTTTCTTAGGAACCACAGTGAAGTCAGCATGTGACTTCAGTTGTGCTAGCCGTGCATCTGCTGTGACCAGAGTTTCTGTTGATAAATAATGACAACCTCATTAAGCATTCACCCTAGAGGTGTTCCTGGTGCTCAGAAGTGCTCATACTTTAAGGTTATCACTGAATACCTTTCTCAGCACCAAGTAGTTGGTGAGAAACGTATTCCTATTTCAATTAGAAGAAAACTGAACATGGATAAAAAGGGGTGTTTTTAATGTCATATACATTTACCCTGGTACATCACAAATGGCTGACATCCAGCTGGACTTCATGTCACTGATCACAATCTTTAAGGCTAGAAGTTGAGTCAGTTTTCAGTTCACTTCATTGTCCTTTTAGCTAGTCTGCATTTCAGTTTGTCTATGAAGATGTTATGGGAGTCTGTCAAAAGCCTTGCCAAAGTCAAAATAAACAATACCCATTGCTCTCCCCTCATCTACCAAACTAGTAATTTCATCCTAGCAGGTAGCCAGGTCAGCTGAACATGACTTTGTCTTCATAAATTCATGTCAACTACTTCTAGTCACCTTCTTGTCCTTCACATGTTTGGGAAATGGCTTCCAGGATTATTTGCTCAATCACCTTCCCAGGCATCAAAGTGAGGCCGACTGGCCTATAGTTTCCCAGATCCTTCCTCCTTCTTGCTCTTCTCAAAGACAGCACTGACATTTGCTTTTTCTAGTCCTCAAAAGCCTTCCTGCCCTCCCCACCAAGATGATCCTGCTCTTCTGAGGGTAAGTCTTCACTGCTCCTGATTTTCCCATGGGTCTAAGAGGCCTGGGATTCCTGAGGCAAATCTTACCAGGGAAGACACAGGTGAAGATGCCAATGAGTACCTCTGCCTCTTCCATGTCCTTTGTCACCAGATCCCATTTGTGAACTCATTTCTATTATGAAATATAACAGCATCTACAAATACATTAACAGGATGAAAATCACAAGGACAACAATAACTCTTAGATAATGATAGGCTGAAGTCAGATAGATACTTCTTCTTGAGGCACGGTAGTAACTATTTGTATTATTATGACCACTTCTTTCTCTTCTCAAAAACACCAAGATCAGGAAACTGCCAGAGGACCTATGAAACTACACTAGCACTGGTCTTTTCAGCTACAATGGCTGATAAGTTCCCTGCTGTTTGCATTGTTCCATCTGCTTTTAAGTATAAATATAAAACAATGAAGTAGAGAAAAGAACAGCTCTGAAGGAACGTAGCTGGAATAATTTACATATGCTAATTTCTGAAATCAGTGATAGCTCATTTGAACTTACAGGATAAATACCAAAACTGCATACAGCCTGGCTCAACAGCTTTTTCTTCCATAGCACAAAGAGATAATATGGGATCACTGCAGGTGTAAAGAGGAATAGCAAAGATAAATAACGAGATCTTAATTTCTGGCTATGATATTAATGTGATCACTGATCATGTCCCTTCTGGTGTCCATACTTCAGAAAGGACATTGAAAAAGGCAGAGGTAGGTCAGCAAGAAACCGTAATTTTAATTTCAGAAAATACATCTTGAAGTAAGAAACTGGAGGATTTTGTAAATTTTCAAGATGAACAGAGATGATCTGTGACCCAGCTAGTCTGTTGGTATGTGTACATGGGGAAAATACTGGGTATTAGGAGATACTGTAATGTACAGAAAAATAGCATGGTGAGTTCGGTGAATGGAAAGTAAAATTAAAATACAGGAAATGAGAGCATCGAGCAAGATCATCTGGGGCTTACAAGTATCACTGCTAGCCTCCATCTCCTACTCCCCACAACAGTGTTGACCTTTTGCATTCACAGTGCAGTGCAGTGCCGCCTTTCTTTCTTCTCAGGATCACATGCCTGCCATGAGGGCAAAGAGAAGACATGGTGCCAGGCACAGACAGAAGGCATTTGTTTTTTCTCCATTCTCAGTCCTCTGCTACAGGCATGCCACTCTCACAGACACTTTGCTCCTGAACAAAATGTTATTACTGAACAGTAAATGGTGGGAGATGTGGCTTCCTGGCTGAAGGATAAATTTTAGTAGTTGTTATATTGTTGGATCTAGTGGAGAAACCAGCCAGTGAATAGCCTCTGTTACACAGATGAGACTAATTATAAATGGTCCTGTTTCGCCTGACTATTTCTGTGGGAAATACCCCCAGTAGCAAGGCTCTCCTGGAACATCATCTGGAGTTCCTAAGCCTCAAGGCTTCCTGAAAACCAGATTCAAGGCCTCTTAACATGGACATTCAAAGCTGCAAGCACTCAAATGCTGTCTGCCTGCTGTGTAAAGCCCGGGCCTCATGCTTGGTCATACTGAATTATCTGGGACACTCGGGTAGAGAGGTGTAAAAGAGCTCTGCTGGAGGCAGGGTGTTGGCCAGACGCATGCAACTTTTAGATAAAGAAGAGAACACTACTTCCTCCTGAAATGTGCCTGAGGAAGGGAAGCCAGCCATGATACTCAAGTACTTCAGTTTCCAGTCACTGACATGACTTAGCTCATGCGTCTTCCAAAGAAGTCCAAATCTTACAACCCACTGACTTCATAATTAAACAGACTTTAAGGCTCAAAGCTCCTGTGAAAGTAGTCTCCTGTGATATCTGGTAACCCTGTATCGATCCTTACGCCAGCTGATGCAGTTGGAGCCAGCATGTGTAATGCTGTTGCGATGGGGGTTTTCACAGCTGCATGTTGAACAGTGGCTAACCGTTGAAAACGGATGATATAAAGCCACAAATCAGGCTCCTCTATGCTACAGAGGGCAAAAAAAGCAGCTCCCTGTTGCCTCTCTCTGTGTACTAAAATAGGAAATGATGGTGCAGAGGCAGCTCCAGGTGGCGGGGTGCTGTGATTGCTCTCCTGTGACCAACCAGCTGCACATTTCTCAACGATTCTAACGCCAAAAACAAGCACCAGCGCTTGGCTCTGCAGTCAGGCGGGGAATCAGCTCGGGGGGGTCCCTGGGGACGCTCTGTTTTACCAGAGGATGACAGGCAGGGAGGGGGCCAGATTTGGGCTGGGTGTGGAGCGCCTTGAAAAGTCGGATTTTCACCAGAGCCCCCGGAACCCGGACTGTCCTAAGGCTGGAGGCACCAAGTTTTGGGCCGTGCTGCAGCCGCCCGAAAACCTCTGGGGAGGGTCGTCATCCCCGCGTCGATGCGGCCGCCTCAGGGCGGGCGGGCGGTCGCTCCTCGGCCGTCGCCCGGGGAAGCTGAGGGCGGGGGAGTTTGTCAGCGCGGTCCCTCAGCGGCTGCCGGGCAGCGGCGGGGCTCCCGCACCCGCCGGCAGCCGCCCGCTCGGTGACATGGAGGCGCCATTTCCTCTGCCCTTGCTTCGCCCTTAAGGCCGCTGCGCCCGCGCCTCGCCTCGCCCCGCACGGGCGGCTGCGGGCGGGCGGGCGCCGCGTCCCCGTCTCCCCCCCCCTCCGCCACACGCACCGCGGAGAGGCAGGGGAAGGGACTGGGAGGGGGGGGCGGCCGGCCGGCTCCTCCGCTAAAACCAACCCTCTCCTAATAAAGCGATGGGCCCCTGGCCGCGGTGCCGCGTTCCCCGCGCCCTATAAATACGCTCCGTGCGCGGCCCGCGGGTTTCGGCCGGCGCGGCTCTGCAGGCGGGGCGGAGCGGAGCGGGGGCCGCCACTCCCGCCGCCAGCAGAGCCCCGGCCCCCGCACCCCAGCGAGATGCCCCGGGTAGACGCAGACCTCAAATTGGACTTTAAAGATGTCTTGCTCAGACCTAAAAGAAGCAGCCTCAAAAGCAGATCAGAGGTGGGGGCATTCAAACCCAGCATGCTTTTTCCTCCGTCCCCACCGCCTAACTTCCTTAACCTTCCTTCCCTCCCTGCTTTATTTTTATTCCCCAGTCTAACGTTAGCAATGCCCTCCCCGATCGAAACGCCCTTTACGCGGCGGGGGGAGGGGATGCCGCTGCTCCTAGGAGGAGGGCAGGACGGGGCCGGGGTTACGGAGCCCGCGGCGTGTGTCCCCCCCCTCCCCTCCCCTCCCCGCCCCTTGGCGCGGCGAGCCCCGGCCCCGGCCGAGCGGGAGGCGGCGGGCGCCGGGAGCCGGTGCCGCGCTGTCCTCCCCCGCTCCTCAGCGAAAATAAAAAGGCGTCGGGGGCGGGGGGGGGCGGAAAGAATTGTTTGCTCCTAGCAGGTGCTTCTGCGGAATTCTGCGGCACTAAGCGGGGGGGTGGGCTCCGGTTTCCGTGGGGGATGCCCGCCGGGAGCCGACCGCTTTGCCATCCCCTCTCCAGGGGAAGGGGGGGTGCCCAGCTAGGCGCCCCGCAGCTTGGACCGGCAAAAGCCGGGGGTGCGGGCCGGCAGGCATCTTCACCCTCAGCCTCGGGGGTTGAAGGCAGGGCTGTGACCGAGGAACTGACACGCTCCTTTTAAAAAATAGTAGTAATAAAACAACAACCAGTGAGGATGCTGGGGAGCACTTCCCACGGCACAACGGGCTGGGATCCCATCAGGTGGAAACTTAACCCCCCCGCGACCTGCCTCCTCCTGCAGCCTGACTTCCATCTGCCCGGGGCTCTGCCACCCCGCTGGCCCAGGGACACTGTCAGCCGGGATGTTGCTGTGGTTATTTCTCAGCAGGGATCAGGAAAAACCCCGGGAAATCCCATGAGGGTTGCCCCTACAAAAAAGACGGCTGCCTCAGGATTGAAGGTGCCTTCTCATTTACCTCACATAACCCCAAGGTTAACAAAGGATTTAGTTGGGCTAATGAAAGAATTATGTTGTGTTGGGGAATGGAAAGAGGATTAAACTTTTCTCCAGTGGAAGTGGAGTTGTAAGGGAGCAAGACCAAGACAAATCAAGTGAGGTAGAAAGACAAGACTGGGAAGGGAAGCGGGGTGGCCATGTCTGTTACAGGCCTATGGCCAGGGATTTGGAGGGCAACAACTAAGCAAAACGTTTTTGCTGTTATGAAGGTGTAAGATTGGAGAGGCCCTTTCAGTAGGAAGATAATATCAGGCTAGTTATTTTGAATTTACAGATAACTATGTCCAGGCTGAGTAACTCCTCATTGTGTGCTATCACTGCTCGTGAGGCCTGTAGGCCCTTTCTTGCCATTTGCTTGGGGACCTATGGTCCTTTTTTAAAAATTCACTGTGCAGGCCTGGCAAACAGGTGGAGCCGTACTCCACAGAGTGACACATGGCTCCTCCAAGTGCAGTGTTTTGTATATTTAGCTGTGTGCAGGCTGTGGAAAGAAGGGCTGCTGGGAAGGGAAAATGATAGGAGGAACATGAGCTGATATGGCAGAGTGGTAACGGGTGGCTATGATGAACTGTTAAAAACCTTTCACATGAGAAAAAGTGCGTGTCATGATGAGGGTCAGTGAAAACCGATGAAGGTTAAGAAATTGGACACCATCACTGAGGCTGTAGCAACAGGAATAAACAGTGTCTGTGAGAGCCAGATCTGAAATGGACAGCGCTGGTCTGCTTCAAAACAAGAATATAAATAAATAGTTCTGGCAGAGGAACAGAGGCAGCATATTACAGTGCCTGTTACCCAGCGGGCTGATGCTTTGAAGCTTATATCAGCAAGCATCTGCTTCTCTGGTGTGAATGCCTCATTTTGCGCGAGGATAGCTTTTTATGCAGTAACTAGGATTAAGCCAGTTTAGAAAGTAAGTTTGGGGTGTTTGCGGCTCTTCTTGTAGGTCTGCTGTGTTGGTACTTGTTATTGATTCCTTGCACTATCTTAATTTTCCATGGGTGCTTTCTCTTTTTGAAAAGATAGCAGAAAATTTGAAGCTTGAATTCAAGTGTCAAAATTGGTTAAAAAAACGATCGGAGTGGGAGCAGCATTATCTGTCTTTGGGGTATTGGTACTCACCTAGCCTGCTATTCTTGCCTTTGCTGGACTTGCCTCTGCAGGCTGTCCAGACAAGTGTCCTGTAGGAAGTCTAGTCATTAATTTAAATTTGTATATTCAAATACTATCAGGAAGCTTTAACAGAACAGCCAATGTCCTAGTACTTTCATATGTCAAAGGTCTAGGTAGGAATTATACTTCTCATGATTTTCTTTCTAAAGCAACTTTTACTGTTGAGTGATGATGAACAATCCTAGAGTCAGAAGTTATTTTCTTATAATGCGTATAACTATAAGCTATAAATTAGCTGTTACCACTCAGGAAAGAAACAAAGAGATGATCAGAAGTGCTACTAGATGAACTAAGGAAAAACAGCTTTGTGATGCTCCTCACTATGTTCATCTTGAGTACACAGCTCTGGTGATCCCTTCACAAGAACAGCATAATATGCTAAAATAGGTACAGAGAGTGTCAGCCAGGATGATCAGCAGTATTGACTGATTTCCACATGAGGAAAAAAATAAACGTACCAGGACTATTCAGTATGGAGAAGCAGCAGCTGTGAAGGATATGCTAAAAGTCTATGAAGGGAGGAGTGGGATGGAAAAGGTGAAACTGAGAAGTATCTCTGGATTGTCTCTCACAAAACAATAAGTAGGAAGCAATAAATGTAATTATCAAGCAAAGGTCATAGTTTTTATGCTATATATAATTCATCTTTGGAATTTATTACTATGGGATAGGCTAAAGGTGTGAAGGATTAAAAAAACTACAAGGCAAGTTCTTTGTCCTTATGTAGCTATTTAGTGCCATGGATTGGAGGAGACCTTTGTCTTTGACGGTCTCTAAACATCAGCTTCTTGGGACCTCAGAAGGTAGGCATGGGAAGGAGTCTTTCAAAACTTGCCTCGTTCTTATGCTCCCTTCCCAGACATCTGGTACTGGCTGTTTGAAGAACTAGGGCACCACATGAACACCTCCAACCCAGTGTGCCGTTTTTCCTGTTCTAATAGACAAAAACCTCATTAGGGGAATCCCTGAAATTATTACTCATAAATGCCTGCTGTTATAGTATTATCAGTTCTGTGGATAATTGCATGAGATCCATCTGGCTGGCTGGCTAAAGGAAGTCACATACGAGAAGTTACAGTAAGAGGAGGTGAGAATCACTGAAAGAGTAATGGCCTTGTGTTCCCTGCATAGCTTTGCATCTTGCCTCAGTCTTCTCTTAAACATACTCTTATCTACTTCTTTCTTAAGTTAATTTCAAAGAGATGTTTTACCTCTGTAAGACTGTAAGGCAGTGGTTCAACTGGTTGTGTGATACTGTCTTTTTTTTTTTTTTTTTTTTCCCTTGGTTCTGGTTAATAAATTACATTAAAACGGAGTAAAATACATTAAATTTTCATGCTTATTTCATACCTATCATCTTCATACTATTTTCTCATGTTAGCTGCAGCTGAAATTCCCATAATAATGTTATGTCATCAGTGATGGGTGGAAAATCGGGCCTTTCTGATACTAACTGGGAAGAAGAATGAGTTTCCATTAAGATGTATCTTCGCTTATTTACCAAAGTGACCTTTGCCTTACAAGCTTATACAAAATGAGAACCTGTTTCACAGTATATCACTGAGGCACCAAGTTCCTTCTCTTATACAAATCAGTAATAAACCCCCAACCATATTAATCAGAATGTAGCTTGCAGTATGCCAGTGCTCAAAATACATTGTAAATAAATAACTGAATTCCTAAATTTTTTATATTGCTTCCATTCTGATGATGGATTTCAGTTCAGTTCAGGTCTCTGAATGTTCCTGGATTAAAACTGAAGTGAAGAGTAATGAAAACTGTGAAAAGAGCCTTCATTTTCACTGTCACTAAAGAGACTAACCTAATATCTTACAGTTGTGCCTTTTTTAGAGGTTTTTTTCCCCTTTTTGCAAGATGCTGAGTAAACCAATGGGAACTGATGTAAATTTGCTATTACCTCTTGCAAATGTAAGGAACAAAATGCCTGATGTTACCATGATCATTTGAGGATGCTGAAGAATAAATAACTTTGAAGATGAAGGCTGACGCCGTTGTAAGAAATTAACTTAGAAACTAGCAGCCTCATGGTTTAATAAGCCAGGGTATGATTGTTCATATTATATGTCACGAGTGATAGTAACCATAGCCAAAAGTAAGAGCTTGTTTTATTATATTGTCATTTACATTAAATATTGGGACAGAGCCTCCTATGCCCTTGGAGATGGAGGAAGTTCCAGCTCTGACTTCTGTGGAGTTAGGACTTCATATTTGGTTTCACAGGCAGCCAAACTAACAGCTGAGTTTACTTCTGTATAAAGTATTCCACAGTCCTCATTGTCCTTTCTTTCTAACCCCATCTGACTAATTTATTTATTTATTTTAATTTTTTATTCTCTTTTTCTTCACCAAGAACTCTCTTTAACACAGAAAACATTATTTTATATTTTCTTTCTTATTTGGAAGGCAGAATTTGTAACAAAATAAATAAATGAATAGAGAGAATGCTGGAATGAAAGGAGGAAGGCCATGAAATGTGAGGAAGATTAAGAAGCATTGTCCAAACCTGCTGTATCTGAAGTCAGTGGCAAAACTCTTGTTAGATTGCAATCAGTTACTTAAAAGAATGTGTGCTTATTTATTGCAGGTTGACCTCACGCGCACCTTCACCTTCCGCAACTCCAAGCAGACATACACAGGAATTCCCATTATAGTGGCAAACATGGACACCGTGGGGACGTTTGAAATGGCCGTGGTAATGGCAAAAGTAAGTCTTGATTCTTATTTCTGCAACAATTGGGAAGCCACTGGGTAACCGTGAGCAGCCTTTGTTAATTTTTTAGCTATGTTTTGGGGGGATCAGGGATGCATGAGTTAAAAAATCCAGAAGGGAAGGTGTGGCTTCACTGCAGAGCAGATGTGCTTTTATAGCCGTACAGTTATCAGAGACAGGGCTCCAGATATAAAATAGTTTCAGTGGAGATGCTTACTGGGTAGCTTCCATCTTGGGTGTAGCTCAGTTTCAGGTGGAGCTTCTAGAACTCAGTTTTTGAGGTCTGTATTGTGCTGCCTTCCAGAAAGAAATTATTAGCTGACAGCAGTTTTGAAAGTGTAGGCTACTGGATAACTGACCTCAAGGCTCATTTTAATTTCTTGCAATGCTTAAGGACATTCAAAATATTGACCATAATTTCATGAAACACATCAGAAACCCAATCCTGAAGGGTCAGGTACGTATGCTAAGTTACCTTTGAAGAGCTGTTTGAAGTTGCCTGGTCTGTTATTCACGGTTACTGTTTCTTTCAGGCAGGATAAGCCTATATGTAAAATGGGAATTTCTGATATCTTGTTTTTCCGCAGCTGAGGGAAGGATGACTAACTTGGACATTAATATCAGTTTTCTTATTTTTGCTAGCATGCAATGTTCACTGCAATTCACAAGCATTATTCTCTGGAAGAATGGAAACTGTTTGCTGCCAATCACCCAGAATGCCTTGAGGTACATTTTCGTAGTGTAAATTATTATGGTATATTGCTTTGTTCTGAGCTCACATACACTGGAGTCTCTTGGGAATACTGTTGTCAAGTGAGGTTTTGTGGAATGAAGATATTTACTGTTCTTAAATGCATCAAGGGAAGTGGCTTGTCCTGGTTTAAAAAGAATAGCTTTTCAAGTCCATTATGAAAGTGCTTATATTAAGATGCAAAACCCCAAACTTTATATATGCCTGAAATGGAAACAGATAAGTATCCTGAACAAAGAAGTAGGAAGTGCTTGGGAATAGGTCTAACTGCTGGGCTGCTGTTGCTGTTGGGAACTGTGGGTAGTGCTGGTGAGGGAGAAGCCTAAGAGCACAAGCCTTGACCTAAGACCATAACCCAAGCGCAGGCTGGCCCTGCACACCCGTGTGCTAGGCAGAGTCTTTGCTATCAGGTGTGCAAGTGGACCCAGAGCCTGTGGGCTGCAGGGGCCCAAGCAGGGATGACCATTGAAAGTTGTCAGGGCGTATGTGTCCTCCATTTACCTCCTTGCACTAGAGCTCACACTGTGCTGCTGCTGGCTGTGCTGCCCGACTTGATCACAGGGTCCTAGCCTGAGCCATTACAGAGAAACACCATTTAGTAAATTTAAACACTGGCTTAAGTATTGACTTTTTCATATCCAGATTTCTTCTGTGTTCTTCTGGCAGGCCCCTAAGCCAGGCGAGGCAGTATAAGAGCATGCCTGGCTCTCTCCCCTCCTCCTCAGAGTTCAGTGCAGTTTCGAAACATTTTCTGTATAGAAAAGAACAGCTCACAGCTGACTTGTATCTTTACCTGTGGCACATTTTAGAATTACATAATGAAGGCTATTGATGACAAGATTGTCTGAAAGCTATCCTATCACTTAGGTTCATCAGGGTTGCTTATATGCCACTATGGAGTAGAAAATAGTCCCAGGAATATCCTGTGTTTGAACACTTTGGCACTTTGCACATTTGTGGTTCATAATCACTGGAGTAGGATCTCCCAGTGATTAAATACTGACTTGCTCTGTGACCTTGGATCTCTGCAGAGGTTTTGTGGGCCAACAGCTGTGGAAACTATTTTTCTATTGGAAAGAACTCATAGGAAGACAAAGAAGGAAGCAATCTGCTTGTTTTCAATGGTAGCTGACCCTGCTTGGGCAAGGGGGTTGGACTACACAGTTTCCAGAGGTCCCTTCCAAACTCAAACTATTCTGTGATTCTGTAGATCAAGGGAGTGTTTGGTGAACTTAAAGATTTCACTCTCTGACAGTACCCCAGATTTTACCACTCTGCCTTCCTGGAAATATCCCAAGTTAGGGCTTCTCTGTGTGCGTGTGTGTGTTAATATGAGTACAGATGGGCTTTCATCCATCTCAGGTGATTATATTTGCCTGTGAGGATCCACTTGTGAATGAAGAGCTGATAGAACGCTAATTTGGCTTTATTTTAGAGCCTTTAAACAAAAAAGTAACATATTGATATTCCCAGGAAGGTATTTATTTCATATTATATAGTACGATTTTCACTAGTTTCCAGCACAAGTTCTCCCAAGACTATGCAGAGAAAGACATATGAAGTGTGTGTTTATCCCTGTTTTTACGAACTACTACTCACTTCTGTTCTCCTTGTCTTTCTAGCATGTAGCAGCAAGCTCAGGTAGTGGAAAAGCTGATTTGGACAAGTTAACAAGTATTCTAGAGGCCATTCCACTTATCAGATACATTTGCCTGGATGTGGCAAACGGCTATTCAGAGCACTTTGTGGAGTTTGTGAAGTCTGTCCGTGCCCTGTTCCCACATCACACAATTATGGTAAGTGTGTACAAAGGGTGGAGGGGGTGTGTGGGAATTCTGTCCAGAAACAGGGCCCAGAGTTTGGTTGGTAGGCATCAGAAGCTCTGTGGTAGCTCCATCAATTTCTGAGCCCTCATTTAAAAGAGGAAAAGAAAGAAGGAAAGAAAAGTCGTCAAACTCAAACCACTTGTCTTCCAGACAAATACATGTGGACTGATACCCTTCTGAGAATATAGAGGGCAGCTCTATTCATCTACCCATTCAATTCAGCAAGATGTTGACTCTGAGTCAAATGGTGACTGTAATAACATGTTGGCATCTTCAGTCCTCCACTGTTGATAATTTCTGTGGGAATGTCCAGTGTGCGCTCTGATACTCACATTCTTCTTCCCACACCAAATGTGACCTCTAATCATAAAGTGTGTAGGTTTATGTTGGTGATTCCAAGCTGAGGTTTGCTGTGGGAATGTGCCAATGCCAATTGAGGCCAATGGCTTTTTTTGTCTATTAGATCACTACCAAGACAGCTGAATGTAGACTAATCCTTGCCTGTGATAAGAATCATAGGGGTGTTGTGCAGTTGTGAAACAGGGTCATCAGGGAGCAAATTAGTCAATGCTGGGGCTTTTCATGTGCCCTCTGTGAAGTTTCTGTCCCTTCTCAGCATGCTAATGCCATGATTCCTCCAGCCCTTTTGCACCAAGAGCCAGGGTGTTTGCATCAATATGGGACTCCTTGCAGCAGAGCCCTACTGCTCCTGCTTGTTTTCCAGGGCCCTTGAAGATATGGGTCTGAATTTGTTGCTATGAGAATAGCAGAAATTCTCAAACAAACAGCAGATTCCTAATGAGGCTACCAGCCTTTCTTAAGCCAGTACAGCGAAAAATCATGTTTAGGCAACACTTTCCTATTTTTTCATGCAAGACATGAAGCTTCACACATGTAAAGCAAATGTGAAGTAAAAATGGTCATAAATGCACACTCTGACTTGGTTCATAAGGGAACTGCACGCTCAAGCAGCTCAGGGGAAGACTACACTCCTTCCTCCCACATTGGAGGAAGGTAGTGTTCTTGCCTCTGAATGATGATGGCATTGGAAAATGGAAGTGGGATGGAATGCCTGTGGGGTTCTGGGTTACCATAGGCTAATGAAGAGGCGTCCTTCAACAGCTACCAGCGGACGTGGGAAACTTTTTGGTATGGCCATATTTACCATGGCTTTGGGGAGAGCTTTTGGAAGTTTGAAATGATAGATGTGGGCTTTTTGAGCTTCCTGTTCACTGCAGTGAGAGAAGGAGCTGTTTCCTTGCTTTGGATCTGAAATATTGTCCCTAGTGACATGATTACTCCAGTGTCTTTGGCTTGAAGAGTTGTGGGGGGGGGAGCTTAAACCACATAGTTAAAAAAAAAATCTTCCCTGTCAGGAGTGGAAAGGAAATTGTGTGTCATCCCCTCCTCCACCTCCCCACAGACTGCTGACTTTGCTGACTGAGGAGGGAGCTCAACCAAGATGAATTGCCCAGTAGGCACAGGAGGTCAATGTCAAAGTCAGGTATCAAGCCCAGATTTTAGTCCAAGGTCCTTAAGCCGGTCTCATCCATGACCCACATCTGTTAAGCTACCTGCTTAGTTTCTCTGCTTCTGTGACAGATTATTGTCACTTCAAGTCTCATTGTTCTGACAGCACCACCTGCTTGAGCACATATACAGCCCTGACCCATTCAGTTGCCTTCTCTGATTGTAGCTCCTTTCTCTGAACATGGTTTAGTATGGCTCATGTTTTTCATCTCCTGCACAGGGATAATTTCCATTCCTAAGCCTTCTGTTTTCCAAAGCCTCCAGAGTCTGTGCAGTCCCTGAAAACCTCTGATTCAACTAGGGACATACACCTCTACCCCACTTCCAAGTGAGTTTACGTAACACTCTGTGCCAAAATGGCCTTTTGAAGCTATTCCTGGCTGAAATACAGGCTCTTGTCTAGGCTCCTTTTTATGATACTCTGGAAGACATGTCCTGCTGCTACCTGTTCCCGTCTGCTTTGATGTCTCTGTGCTATGCCTGCAGTATGCTTTCTGCTGTTGTGGCTTTCAAACAAAAAGGTTAGCAGTTAAATAGAAGGTATAAAAATAAAGAAGCTTTCTCATAGCTGAGAGTGATCTCCAGGACCTTGCAGGCTGTCTTGTTTGCTTTCCTCAGCATGACTGTTCATTCCACAGTCAGCTGCAGTGCAGTACATAACAGTAACCCAACCCTGGTCTCAGGGAAGGTATGTTCCCAGGGGCTGTGCAGTGGGTTCAGCTCTGAGGCTGAAAGGTGATGTGCAGAGCAACTGTGGTTAATGTAGTACTCTGTGGCCAATAGTCCAGTGCACACAGAGGATGCCTCTTGTGTAATAACCTTTCAAATGCATGGTTTTGCCTTTTTAAATATTTGCTTTTATAATCACATTACCTTATTTCCTTCCGCGTGGCTCTGACACAAGCTCTTTTCACTCCTGCCTTTCATATTAATTTACAAAGAAGATCAATTTCTCCGTGGAAAGACAGACAGGGGTGCAAAAGTACAACTTGACTTGCCTTTAATCACTCATTAGACTGAGGATAGAGAAAGAAAGAGTGTTCAAGTTTCCTGAGTGTCTCACAAGCAGAGCACTGACCCCCAGAATCAAGAGTAATGGTCCAGTGGTGTGTTTTGCTGTAGCCCAGCATCGTGTACTTGAGTTGTGTCTACTCACTGAAGTCCAACTTTTGTTGGCATTCATAATGGAGGGTGAGAGCCTTTATATTACAGTAAGAGTAGTCCCTATTTATTAGTGTAATTATAGATGTTAGGGTTCTTCCATTTCACTGGAAGTCATTTTAGCAAGCTAAGATATCTTTGCCAGTAAGCTTTGCCAAGTTTTTAGCCTGAATTTTTCTTTTCACTGTGTTCTCTGTTCATGATACAGAAGAAACCTTGGGGAGGGGAGCAGGGAGTGTGGCAGGAAGGAAAATGCTAGGGCAGGAGCAGGCTTGCAGATGCAGTAGCACCCACAAGATGTGGGCCAGAGAGGGAGACGAGAGGAATCACAAAGCAGGAGCGGAGGGAGGTGAGAGGAATCGCAAAGCAGGAGCAGAGGGAAACAGCAGGGGCCAGAAACTGTTGCTCCCTTTGGAGTCAGTAGCAGAACTTCTCAGGGCCTTAGTGGAGGCAGAATTCAGTCAGAGAAAGCCCTGCAGACTGCTCTCAGTTTATCTCCAAAACGAGCAACAGAGTCAATCCACTCATGGCGTGTCCACCAGAGCTGGGGTCTCAGAGCAGGGGCCAGCTGGGATCCCAGGGCAGGAGATAGTGATGCTGCCAAGGTTGCCTTGGGTCAGTCACAATACTGAGTGCAAACACCCTCCTGATACAGCTCAGCCTGACAAAGGGCATCATCTCTCCATCTCAGGGTAAAGCACCCTTTGCTTTGGTGGGTGGGAAGTGTCCTTTGGCAGTGTTCCTGATAGTGTGGAGGCACAGACTGTGCTTTCCTCTAGGATACAAGAAAAAAGTTTGAGAACTGTTGTCACAGACACTTCTCCCCAGCTTGATCCATTGCCATTTGCCAGCAGCTTTCAATCAGTGCAGCAGTGTTCCTGTCTTAGTGTGAGCTGATATTTATAGCAGGCTTTTATGAAGCACAGTATCAAATGCTTGCCTGAAATTCAGAGGCACTGCCCTACTGTGTTCGCTAATTTTGTATCTCTGTCAGAGAAGCTGTAGCCTTTATAATCTTGTTAGGTGAAATCTTGATCCTATTAAAGGCAGTAGTGAAACTCCCTTTGACTTCTCTGAGGCCAGGATTTCCTTTAGGACTGACCCACAGTTCAGTCATCCTGGATAGTGCTGGAATGAGCCAGGGTGACACTCACTTGAAACCTCTCACTGAGAATGTTGCCCTGAGTGCATGAGGCCAGGCCCACAGCCAGGGTAATTTGTTGCAGCCCCTAATAACTGACCACACTGCAAGCATGGTAGTTTACCTGACTTTCAGTTGTTACTGATGCTGTTATTTTACTGCCAGGGGTATCAAAGTTAGATTAGCAGTATGGTAATTACTGGGCTATATCTCTTTCAAGAAATCCAGTTCTGCAGCAGATTAGAAATTCATTGGTACATGGGCTCATCACTAAGGTGAGCATGCTTTTTGTTAATACAGTACTTCCACCAATTACTATGTTCCCTGAGTATTTGCCCAAATACACTACAAAATGTATTGTATGTAGTGGCTTCTTTGTATAAGTTCCAATTACTTTACTTGCTTTATATTCTTAGTTAATTTTAAGGGGGTTTCATCTCTGTAGTCTCAGTCTTTCTATATTCACCTTTTCAAATTTTTTTAGTTGAAGTATTCCGGCTTTACCTTTCAGGTGGGGCTTTCAGAAGCCCTTTTGCTTCTATTCAGCTGTCATACTGGCATCAGTGGTAAAGCAAGCACTGGCTTCAGTGGAAGTAGAGTTCAGCTGGATGTGAGAAAACAGCTTTCCCTGTTCTTCAGCTGTGATACTAGTGTCTCTTCACACACAGATAGCTGTGCCTCTCAGAGGTCTGCAAAAGGTACCTAAAAGAAGCAAGCCCGTCATCAGCAGGTTGAAGTCTGCTATGTAGAGCTCCACGTCTTCCCTGAAAATTTGTTAAGGATCTGCAGATTCAGAAAGACAGAAACCACTGATGTGTATACATGCATTCCAGGAAAAAATGTATGCTGGGGACATAAGTGCTTTTCCCTGCTAGGATGAGCATTTTGAATCAACATATGCAGTTCCAACATTCTCTAGCAATAACTTAACATTAAACGTCTGGTTAGCATTTCTGAAGAGACAGTTTGACAACCTGCTATGCACTACTAATAAGAAGACACTGCTGTTTAAGTTAAATACATATTTGATCCCAAATCTCATGGAGCCACAGGCTTTAATACCCGTTCATTCCTGTTTATGAATCTGTTGCACATACTCCAGTATTTCACCAAGTTGTGAAGTGCTGCGTGTCACACTGCACAGGTAGTCATCCGCCTTCCAGATATAAGCTGCCTTCTAATGTTGTAAGCAGCATACTCTCTGTCATCTCACCTTGGAGCATACAACACTTAGTATAACAAATTACCACTGAGCAGCAAGGAAGCAGCACTTAGCTGGAAACACTGTACCTATTATATGTTCTTTATTTCCTGACTGTTCTATTTTATTTTATTTTATTTTTAATCAATATCATGCAGTTTTGAGCAAAGTTTAAGTGGTCCTGTGTCATAGACCACAAATTGCTGCTTAACAGTATTACTGTTTTATAAGTGCCTCAGGTGGTGGCTTGTCAGCTGTTTCAGGCCAATAAAAAGGGGAAGTAAAATTCATTAAAAATAAATAAATGGTGAAATAAGAGCCAATAATCAGTAAGTGGAGAATAGGCCTTGCCCAGCATTCTCTGGGTAGCTCTCGTGGACTTCAGCAGGAGTTTTGTTTCAATATAAACTAAGAAAATATTAAGTAAGGATTTTAGGATTTGCTTCCTGCTCTGCCCATATCAGTACTGCTACAAAGTCCTGGAATATCATTACCTAAGAGGTCTTCTGAACATCTCTAGATCCTAAATTCAGATCTCTGAAAATTAATAGCCCATCTCAGTATAAGAACAGAATGGATGATGTGAGCAACTGGACATGTGTTTCATGTGGGTTTATTTTGTGTCGTTTTTCTAGTTGGGATCATGCCATAGATAGGAGAGAAGCTGAAATCCAAACCATAATTGGGTTTCAAATGTCTGATGGGATTCATCCCAGAGTACTGAAGAAGCTAGTGGGTGTTACAGCAGGACCCTTCTCAATCACCTACCAAAGGTCTTTGGAGTCTGTGGAGGTCAATGCTGATAGGAAGCTAGTCAGCATTATTCCAGTTTACAAGAAGGGGGTGAGGGAAGACCTGGGAAACTACAGACCTGTTAGTCTGACCTCATTAGCTGGAGAAATGATGGAGAAGATCATTCTGCTATTGAAAGACATTTGAAGAACAATGCACTATTCAGGCATAGTCAACAAAGGTTCACAAAGGGAAAGGCCTGTTTAATTTGATATCCTTCTACAATAAGCTCACCTGCCTCGTGGATGAAGGGAAGGTGGTGGATGTAGTTTTCTGGATTTTAGTAAGGGTTTTGATACTGTCCCTCACAGCATCCTCCTGGAGAAGTTGCCCAGTGATGGGATGAGTGGGTACGTGGTGCCCTGGGTGAAGAACTGGCTGAAGGGCAGGGCTCAGAGGGTTGCAGGGGATGGGGCTACATCTGGCTGGCGACTGGTCACCAGTGGTGTTCCTCTGGGCTCAGTTCTAGGGCCAGCGCCATTCAATATTTTTATCATGGAGGCAGGATTTCAATACACCATTAACTGGTTTGCTGATGATCCCAAACTGGGAGGTGCTGTTGACTCTCTGGAGGGACAAGAGGCCTTGCAGAGGGATCTAGATAGATTAGAGCATTGGGCTATGATTAATGGGATGAAAATGAGCAAGAACAAGTACTGGATTCTGCACCTGGGACAAAGTGACACTGGACACAAGTATAAATTAGGAGAGGAGTGGCTGGAGAGCAGCCCTGCAGAAAGGGATCTGCGGGTGCTGGTTGGCAGCAATGTAAAAAATGACAATAGTACCTTCCTTACTCTTTCAGTACTGAAAATACAAAATCCTACAGGAATAAGAGATTTGCCAGGGTTTTAAATAAGATCTGAACATCTTCCCACAAAGTGAGGTTCGCAAGTGAGTGGAAGGCTATAGGCTGTTCAGGAGGCAGAGCAGGAGAGGTGGAGGAGTTGCACTGTATGTAAGGGTTTGCACTGTGTGTAAGGGTATGTTTGACTGTATAGCCATTGTGGTTGTGGATGATGTGGTCAAGAGCTTCTGGGAATTAGGGGGATGGAAGACAAAGCAGATATCCTGATGGGATCTTAAGGATCAGGGTTTACTGGACCAATCATTAAATTCATTTGACTCGAGAAGGTACCTGTATGACTTGTTTAATTTCTGTGGCATGCACAATTAACAATATATATTATTCTTGACTGTATATAGTTCAACTTGTAAACGCACTGGATAAAACTCTACATTATCGTCATTAGTCTTTGTTGCAGTAGTCTTGAAGTCTGCTGTATATGTGATGTTGTTCCTTCTGTCTAGGCAGGCAATGTGGTGACAGGAGAGATGGTAGAAGAACTTATTCTTTCTGGAGCAGATATTATTAAAGTGGGCATTGGACCAGGTAAGTCAAATCCCGTCAAACAAGGATGATTTTTAGTAATGTTGGTGGAGGAGTTGTCCAGATGGAACCATTGTATAATGCTGTTTGCTTGCCCATTAGGATGCCTAGACCCATTAAGGTCAATAAAGTAACTGCCCTTACACATAGTATATTTAAGATACACATGGGCAGGGTGCTAGCATTTTGTACTGCAAAGTGTTAGTATTGCATCTTCTGGCAGTGAAGATGCCTATTATTGAAAGCACTGAGTTGCCTGAGTTGCTGACGTTATCACTGATAATACATGTTGTGTTTAGGAACACTTTCTCTAGCTTGTTGAAAAGAGGCTGAGTCATTCCAGCTGAAGCTCAGAGAATACAGTGTTCAGGTATCCAGTTCTGTCAAGGAAGGGTAGGTTTCTAAACAGCTTTATGATTTGTGTTCAGTTAAGATGAGGTTACCCATCTTGTCAATGTCTTCAAAGATGAAGTGGCATTAATTAAGTGTGAAGTATGGATAACATTGCCTCTACTTGTTACTATTGCCTGGCAGCTAAAATGTACATTAACGCACTTATATGTTACCTATCACTGTAACATTCCGATGGATAAATGGGAGGACCCTAAACTTTTTACAGGGTTTTTCCTACCTTCCCATCCCTAATATTATTGTCTGGCATACACTGCCATATTGTCTTCCCTTTCTTCTTTCTCTCCCTTGTGCGTTCCTTCATGTGCTCCTTCCTCTTGCGATTGCCCTCTCAGACTGCAGCTGGGGTCACCGTATGTGGGCTAGATGTTAAACTGGCTAACACAAGTGCCACTGACAGTATAGCTGTGATCAGCCAGTGCGGTGCAGGCACATTGTTTACTTTACAATGCCAAATAGTTGTGGTCTGTGAATGGATAATTTGAGCAGAGCAAATGATGTAATCAGGGTTGCAGTTGTGCCCAGGAACATGGCAAACGACAATAAACACTGCCAAATACATGAAGAATAACCAACTGGGATGTCATGGTACAATTGTCCCAGGCACATTCAGATATAAAAGAATAATTATTATAGTTTGTAGCCTTGGAGAGGAAATACTTAGGAGTAAATGCTGTGTAGCCCTCCCCAGAGATCTTCCTAAACAGATATGTACAAGTTGACAACTCAAAACTTCAAGTAACAAACGTTCCTCACAGAAGATCAGATCTTGAGGCTCTTTTCCAGATAATGGTCCATCCTGTGGAAAACGGCAGTGGTTTATTATAAAGCATTACATATATAAGTACATATCATTTGGAGATTATTTTAAAGCTAATTTTCTTCCTACTTTGCAGAAATAATTCTCAGTGTTTTCACCTTGTCAGTTCTGTGAAAGATGTTTGGAAACTTTTACTTTACTGGTAACTTAAGTATACCTGCATATCAGCTGGATGAAGGGATCCAGATTTCACCACATTTGGTTTAGAATCTGTTTTGGAATTCTTGTTATCATGCAGAACTCTATGGTCTGAATCCTAAATTATAAGACCTAAACTGGCAAAAAGCAGTCCTCATTTTGACTCAATTTGTGGAGAAAAATAGAGAAAGTATCTCGAAAGATCTATAGCCATGTTACCATGCTGAACTATAATTGAAGTGGGATTTTTATGTATATGTATATACCTTTATTTTTATATATACCTTTATTTTTATATATACATATATGCATGTATCATGTATGTTTATATAGTTTAACAATCAGATATAATGAGTATATTTCCTATAATATTACACTGTACAGCTTCCTGATGATTACTTATCTCACTTTGTAAATTATGTGCGCTGATTTTCTGATACTCCCAACTATTGCAAACAACCAAATACTTCTGCTTTAAGTATTAGGCAAAAGATGGGTTTTTCTCCTTTGTGGAAAATCACCACAAAAAAGAAAATAAAAGCACAGATTTTCCCTGAGAATTATTTTTAAAAACATACATAGAAAAGAGAGAGAAATATTTATTGGAATAAATATTCAGGTTTTAAATGCTGCTGCTGAATCTCATGGGTTGTGACTCTGGTCCTTTTGTCCCCCTTTCTTTCAGGCACCTCAACCTGATTTTCTTTCCTGTGATACAGTAATTCCCTCACCAGGAAGCATTAGTGATGAGACCTAAACTGGGAATTGTGGCCCTGGATAAGAAAGAGGGGATATTAGTCACCTCAATTACAGCTCTCATGAAGTGGTGTTAACACACCATTTCAAAACTCAAGTTCCTGTGTGTTCCTTTTATCCACGAGAAGCCAACACTGGCAATAGAGACTTCTTGAGGGAAAAAAGAATACAGATAGAAACACAGCTTTTCCACAAGAAAAAGAAAACAAGCTGTATATTTTCTGTCAGCCTAGTGGACTGTGTTTTTTCCTCTCATTCTGTTGTCTAGGTTCTGTGTGTACCACCCGGATTAAGACAGGGGTGGGCTATCCACAGCTAAGTGCTGTTATTGAGTGTGCAGACTCGGCGCATGGCTTGAAAGGACATATCATCTCTGTGAGTAAATATCATCTATTCTCAGATTCCCACTGTGCAAATCGTTGTGGAATAGGAGAATCAAACAGTCCAGTACCCTGCATGTTAAAGGCTATCCTTCTGCCATCTCCAGTTGACCCCTATACTATCTCCTAGGGTAGTCAGTGGAGATTTAAATGTAAATAAACCAACTCCCTCTAAAGTTTAAAAAGACTTGGGCACCTCACTCCTGTTTGTGTCTTTGGAAAGCTGCTTCTTGCTCCCTGAATGGAGTAAGCTGTTATGTGAACAGAATAGGAAGCTTGATAGCGTTTTTACATTGAAGCAAAAAGTAATTTCTATGAAAGATTTCTGAAAAATTCATGACATGTAAACATGGCTTTCCCCAGAGAGTGGGACTGAGGGCAGGCAGTCAGTAGAGGGGACTACAAGGTAAAATGATATGAGCCCATCTGTGTCCTAGTAGCTGGATTGATTCAGACAGCATCCTCACAGAGCTCTCTGTGTGGGAACACGTTTCAGAAGTGGCTCTGTTGAGCACAGCTGGCACGTGAGCTACTTATGTTCTCACAAAGCTCAGAGGAAATAATGAGCCTATGGAGAAAAAAGAGCATGTATCTGTATTGCCTGCTAATGGCAGCTTCCACTCTGCCAGCAGGACCAGATTCACCTCACATAGAAAAACTCAACCTCTAAGCATGGCCTCAGACTGAGCTAGACTGCAGCCCACAGCACCCAAAGGTCCCGTGTGCTGAGGCACACGCAGGCGGCCGTTGTGCCCCTGACTGCATCAGGCTTGCCCAGTCTCTGCAGGCTGGCTGTGAGGCGGCTGGCAATCAGGAAGGCATGGGGGCTAACTGGTCTGCTGTGCTCACAGGTACCCACACAGCCAACCGTCTCCCTCTGCGGCCCTAGAAGAGACCACATGCTGAATTTTAGATATACTGCCGAGTGAAATCACTGGGAGGCTCTGATTTGTTCAATGCAGTTGTGACTAGTATCCATGTGAGGAAGGGGGTGTGTTGTGTTGTTGAGGAAGGAGGTGAGAGGAGAACAAACTGACTGTGGATGGGCAAAGGGCTTGACTATATTTCTTGGAGCTGTGGGTAAAGTGGAGCAGGAAAACAAGTAGGTGTTACAGTTGGATCTCTCTTGTTCTTTATTGCTAATGCATATGCATTCCTTCCTCTCCATGGCTCCCCTATATGAAGTTTGCAGAATAAAAAGAAAAGCAATCTGTAATTTTATGACTTGGGCAGTATTACAAATGTTTATGTCTATAGCAGACAGCAGAGCATGTGTGCAATAGCGCATGAAAGACTGACTCATTACTATGAAGTCTGGTTAACTATAGGTGTCATCCTAGCAGTGGTGCTCAGAGACCCATCCTAGATTTGCAATAATCATTTTCTGCTAGCAACCCCCAGAAGAACGTTATTATCCTCATTTTACAAGAAAACGGGGAGCGTGTGTTTAGATTGTTGAAAAATGTGATGGTTCTGTACTATTTCTCCTTTCCTGCTTTGGGGATGGATCAGTTCCTGACCTGCTTAGGTCATGTTGGCTTCAGTGAGCCCACACCTATCAACCCCCCTGGCCATTACACAGGGACAATATAGGAGGACAATTTAATACCTGTCTGCTACAACAACTGGTCCAGGAGAATTACTTTTAGCTGTAACTGGGATCTCTAACACCACTGCAGCTCAATTCTGTCATCCAAGCTAAGGAGACTAAAGCAAGGGTGAGGATGTTATTCCTGAATTCTGCAACATTCAGATAGGTGTTGGTATGTTTATTGGGGAAAGAAAAGGCTGGACTTCACGGTCATTGCCAGAGCTCTGCAAGAGTATCACAAAAGAGAGGTATCCTCCTGAGGGAAAAACATATGGGAGCAAGCCTAAGTATATAATTGGATCTAGTGGCAACAAATATACATGGCATCACTCAAAATGTCTTATTATTGTCATCATGTAGATTCAGGAAGGGGCACACCCTGCCAGAGCCAAAGGAGACCTCTACAGTCAGAGTATTACCACAGCTATCTACGTTGATTTGGCAGGAGAAAATATGTCCAGCAGTTTTTTGTTATGCTGATACAGAAATAGGAAGAATGTGAAAAGACTCAAAGCCTACCAGCTATCTTCACGTAGATTACAGCTGATGGTGTGACATGGATTAGTCTCCTCGGGCACTTTCTTCCATCCACTTCTGTCTTGTCCAGTACCTTCATTGAATTACTCCTCTTTCTTGTTACATTGGCTCAGCTTACGTATGAAGGGAAAGAAGTCCCGCTCATGGAATGAGAAAGTGATGGTGCTGAGCACAGTACAGGCCCTGCAAGGGACATAGCACACCTGAAGCCCATTCTGCAGTAGCTCTGGTAGGATGGCAGCACAAACTGGGATTTTAAATGTCTGTGATGCTGAAGTGGTCCTGTGTGATTTTTGGAGCTGATATGTTGACAAAGAAGGTGACAATTTTTAGGCAAACATGATAGTCCAAGTGAAGGTCTGATGTCTTTTTAGAGTCATTTACAGAGAGAAGGGGAGGTGAAATTGCACCAGTTACTTTCCTCATGCTAAGTTATCTTTAAGACTCGAAGCTCACCTCAGAAATGAATCTTTCATGACTCACTGAAAGAAGAGAGGAAACCCTGTCTAAGATACAGGCACTGTTTCTGTCCCGTGCTATTTGTCTGGGAGCCAGTAGTCTCAATTTTCATTCTCGCTAATCCACTGGCCTTGAGAAAGTGCAGCAGTGAGTTACAGTGGAGGAGCCATTGAGCAGGAGAGCTCCTTTAGAAACACCCTACTTGAGATATAGTTTCTCTTTCGTGCAGGTCAGAGAACTACTCTGCTGGATAGAGAGGCAGTCACGTATTCTAGTAAGCCAGCAATGTGGGGAATGGAAAGCAGCCTTGCGTGTCTCCTCTCTCATTTGGCTACCATTTGATAGAGATCCCTACTCCCCCTTCACCCTGCCTGGGTGATGGGCCACCAGTGTTCAGTGAAAAGGATGACTAAGGGGTTCTTCACCCAGCTACTGCCATACCATCTCTTCCTCCACACAGAACACTTTCCACACAGAAATGTGCCCAGCATATGTAGTTCAGAATAAAGCACCATATGTATTGTTTCTACTGCTGTATATGCCACATACTTTATATATCTTCTGCATAATAAAAAGCTATCTGTTTGCTAATACTGTAGGAAGGGATGGTTATACAGTTTATTATAAAGGTTTCTTGAAACATATAAGTCATAGTTATAAACTTACTATAAGTTGCATAAAATATTACATTTTCAACCAGTTCAGACTGGTTTTTCATACTGTATTTCTTTTCCTCAGGCTTAATTTTGTTGTTGTAAAATGGTTTATCTGTTCAGAGAATAAGACTGGGGAAAATAACATTATTTTAGTCACTTTAAAATAATTCTGTTGGCTGGAAAGCTGTTTTCCCCTTTTCTTCAGCTTAGCACCCACTTGTCTCAGAATCATGCCCTCTGCAGGCCCCATGTCCGCCCTTTCAAGTAGGCTTACTTCAGAATAATGCCAGTTCTCCTGAATTCACAGGGGGATTTGTACAGATACCTTTCTCCAGGGCTCTGAGGTAGAGGCTGAGCCTGCAACAAGCTCCGTAACTGAAGCCCAGCAGTTCTACAAGTCATTTTGAGTCCAGAGCTGTGCCCCTGTTGGGACGAGCTGAACTGCAAGGGAAAGCTTCTCAGACAAAGCTGCAGAAGCACAGTCTTATTTTCTTAACAGAGCACTTGATTTTCCACATCGAATGAAGTGGCTTAATGCATATAGCTTTATTATATAGCATGTACTGGCATAACTGCTTAGTATGTCCCCTTTTTGTTTCCTTTTCTGTGAATTGTTAAATTTACCTGCTTATGTGAGGTAAGTGGAGAAATCTACAGATAAAGAAGTGCTGTGAATCATCATCATCAGTTCCTTTTATCTTAAGTGGAATTCATGAGCTTTTGGGGAAGTCTCTTAATCTGCTCAGCATTTTCTAATTTGGTGACATTCAAAGTGATATTTTTTGAAGCTGATGATTAATGAGTACACACTAAGACCCCCATTGCCATGGCACTTTGGAAAGCATAAAGCCTCCATCACTGCCAGTACTGGGTTAATTATAAAAGTCAGACATTGAGCCACCCAACAAGAACAGACTGAAACCCATCTACCAGAGAGCATTCATAGCCAGCCTGTCTCAGTCAGCCAATAAGTCAGGCAAATTCCTATTCTTTGAAGATTATTAGACCCCTCTTTCTACCTCAGCTCTTCCTCCCCTGACACATGCACACACGCTCACGCCCTCCTCCAGGCTCTGACAGACTTGTCAGAGGGAAAGAATTGCACAAGCAGAGCCCTTAACAGGAGAGAGATATTCAGCTGTCAGCCCAGCACTCCTTTCTGGAGCTGACAGCAAGAGTGTCTAGCTCAACAAAAGGCATAATGTGCTAGAGGTTATCAGCAAATGGAATAAAAGCCTTTAAAGTTCAACCAGGCACTGTTTGCAGTGGGATGCCCTTTGAAAAGGCACTCATTTTTGGATCCACCTGCTCAGTTTGTGTCTGAATTCTTTTCTGTGCGCAGAGAGGCTCTAACACTGAGCCCCACTGCCAGCTACCCGTGAAAGCCAGCACTAAAGTGGCTGGGGGGTGGAGTGGCTGGCTGTGCTCAGACGCAGGTCGTACACACACATGCATTTCTGCCAACAGGGAGGTGAAACAAAATGAGGTGACTGTACAGTCTGAGGAGTAGCTTCTAAAGCAGGAAAGCTGTCGGCAGCCTGCCGCAGACCCTTATCATCAGAGGAATGGGGAGCCCTCTTGGTACAGTGACTGCGCAGAGTAGAAGGATCTTTCATCTGTGCTCAGACCTCTACGAAACCTAAAGAACCAAGCACATGATGAGCCTCTGCTATGTGCCATTCCTTTTTTACAGCCTTATCACAGATACATAACTTCCTTCCCCGCAACAGAAACCCCTTCATCAGCCACCTCTTTGCTCTGCACTGAGACTGAAATAGAGGTCTAAAATGCTAAAGATCTCAAAGGGCTGCTGTTTCTTTAGCAAACCCATAGCAAACAGTGAGGAGTATGATGAGACATTCATTTTCACTTACCAAGGATTAGATTACCCAATTTGCTTAGAGATTATCAGATCAAAATCCAACATAGCTGGTGGTATATTTCCTCACCCCTCCCACTGTGACCTTTTAATGTATTGTAAATTGCTGAGAAAGTTATTTTAAATGTCTTTGGTGGTTTAAGGTAGGGGTTTGTGGTACCTCTGCATCACACAGCCTTTCATTAAAATGGCGGGCAATGATTCAGATCATGAGAGGAGGTTTTGTTTTCCAGTTTCTGGGATTTTGGAAATTGCCGTCAGGAATCTACATCGCTGCTGTTAGCAGTGGTATTATCAGTAGACTATACGGTAGAGTAGATGAGCCTCAAGAAGGAAAGCACTAGAAAGGATGATGCGGATTCCCTAAAAACTCAGCCAAGACGATGTATACCAGTGGTGCACAGTCAGCTCCTGACCTGCTGCTGTGCTGCAGGTCGCAGGGCCCCAGCGCTCCGGGGGTCCCCGAGGGAGCTCGCTGCCACTCACTGCCACTCTGCCACTCTCCGCCACTCACTGTCGTCTGTTCTCTGTGCAGGACGGAGGATGCAGCTGCCCAGGAGATGTCGCCAAAGCGTTTGGTAAGGACACCCCAGTGCCACCCGTCGCACCCTGCGCGTCGCCCGCACCCTCGGCAGGGGTGCAGGAGTCACCCTGACCCTGAATGTGTAATCAGCAGTAGGTTATGTTCGTCCCTGTGGGTGAATCCGGTGAAATTAATACACCAGACATGAATTTGCTCTTTGGACCAGACAGTCCAAATTCTGCAGGGCTAAACATACAGTGGTCGAAGTCCTATTTAGAAACTATCTGCCAGGTATGCATGGGATACAGCCACTGGGACAGTAATACAAAGAAAACTGATAAGGGTTTCTTCTGAGTAGGGTTCAAAGATGTCTGTAAAATTGCCAGATCTGGCTGACCTGGGCCTTGTATGGATGAAGAGATGGTGGAATGTGTGTTGGACAGAAGAATAAAACAAAAAGGCAGGCCAGATCCCTGGAGATGTTCTTGGGATCAGCTGTCTGCTTGAAGAGATGAGATTTTATTTATACTGTATCCCCTAGAGCTGAGCAGATGTCTAAAACATCTAAGTTAATAATTAACAGATTTTGCTCTCATGCCATTAGCTTCAGTGAATTGCACCAGCTCTTGCTGATAGAACAGACAATTTAATCCATGAGTATTTTCTGTTGGACGTGAAAGCTGCAGCAGTGGGGGGAGTCTAGGTCAGGATTGTCACTTAGCCACAACCTTGTTGCAGCAGCATATGTAAACCAGGTGCTAAATGCATCCTGGGCTGACAGGACATTTAAAGACACGCCCCCACCCCCTAAAATGCCAGACCCTTTGGAGATTTCACAGTGGGCTAATACCCAGAATACAGTGGGACAGCACAGTCTCTCACTGGGATTTCAGGGTGGTATGATACGAGAGATAGCACGTTACAATACAGCATGTCTGCTTGGCAGGAAGCTTTGCAAGTATGGAAAGCAGGGGCAGGCCTAAACTCAGATTACAGACCTGCCAAGAAAAACTCTGGGCCTCCTGGAAAGGTTGAAACCAAAATCTGTCTTCTAAGTTTGCAGACAGCTCCTGTTTTTAGGCAGGTCAAATGACAAGGAAGACTTAATTAGAGAATTTTAAGCACAGCCGTGGAGTGATTGCTACCAGCAAGGAATCTGCTCAGTCACAGGGGTTTCACATCACCCTTGTGTTACCCGGTGGGTGATGTGACAGTAAGGAATAGATAGTTGCAGTTGGGTGATTCTGACATAGCTGAACAGCAGCATCCACCCTCTTTGACAACAAGATTGTATTAAGAAACCACTCGACCTCTCCTCAGCCCAGCCCACGCTGACTTCATGCTGCCTGCAGTGAGGCCTTTGTTCTGCCTGGCTGTCTCTGGCTCCTCTGCTCCCCCAGTTCTCGCTGGCATTGTCGTTGGGAGCTTGTGAACTCGGATTGCGACCTCACTGCATTCCCAGCTGCCTGCACAGAAACCTGACCCTTGGATATGGTCTTTCTCCGAGAAGAGTATTTCCAGAAGTTAGAACAACAGGAAGCAACTTCAAAGTGTTTAAAATATTTTCCTCTGTGGTGTTTATAGGAAGTCTGAAGGGTCCTTGTAGTCTCTTCAGGCTAACTGAACAGCAGCTTGCTTGAAACCTGTGAAAGGGCAGATTCTGGCCTTGCTGATTGTCAGGAGGTGCTGGGATTCACAGTGGTACATGTTTGAAGGCTATGACGGGTTGTCCCTGGGACAGAGGAGCATCAGAAAGTTGAGATTATTCAGGCAGGAGTTCTACTCTGACAGTAGGCCAGACAGATCAGTCTGACCCGTGTGTCACAGGTACAGAGCTGGAACTGATACCCTGACGCAATAAACTTACCATATCTGGTTATGTATAATTGAGGTAGACACACTGTGGACATCTGACTAACTGGAGCCAGGTGTGCATTTGTCAAAGGTGGGTAGTAAAATAAGCTTCTAGGTAACGTTACTACTAGGAGTGTTTATTGAATGCTATTCAGGTGATTGGCTATGTGAGCCATGTTAAAGATAGCCTCCATGCCCAGCATTTACAAGTCAAAGCCTTGATACTGATACTGAATTGTCTAGCACAGACCTCTGTGCTTGCGGGGGGAGAGCCTCTTGTGGGAGAGAAGTTACATAAATGGATTGGATAGCAGAGACCACGTGCTGAAACATACAGATGTACAATTTCACCTGGGGATAGGGGCCTGGACAAAGCATGGACAAGAGACCCAAAGAGGACTTTTGGTTAAACTGATTGTACTGTCTTTTTTTGGAGGATCATTGTAAAATCTTCATGAAAGGGATGTTGAGGTGTTCATTGTAAAGCAGTGACAAAGCAGCCATTTGAATCATCAAAACTGTGAAGGAGTCCCAGATGTGAAAAGTGGCTGAAGGTGTGACAGGAGGAGGCAAGCTCATGGGAACAGGAGGAGCAGAGTGGATTGAGTGCAGGTGAAGAGTTGTGAAGAACCATGCAGAAGATGCTGGGAAGCTTTACAAGTGGAAGGTGACACCGTAGACTGGTGTTGGGAGTCAGAGGCAGACTGGGAGTTTTGACAGAGCAGAAACAAGGTAGAAGCCTGTTTTAAAAAGCAAGGAACAGAAGCACTGAAGTTGGGGGACAGAAATGCTGGGATTAACAGATACTTTGGGAGAGCTTGCTGGAATTCGGGAACTGCTGGATGGGAACCTCAAATGGACTTGGGAAACTGAAGATGTCACTGCCAGCTGGATATTGGAGATGATAATGGAGAACATGTAGGTTGATCAGAAGGAAGAGAGAAGTTTTGATGCAGGAATGAGAGAAAGCATGAACTTTGTGGTGGGCTTTCAGATGGTTCACATAACTGCACCCTTGGAAAGGCTGATAACATGAACACATTTCTCAGAATGCCCCAGGGAGGCACTACTGTCTCCTTTTTTTAAAGATGAGAAGTCAAAGCGCAGAAATACTAAGTTCAGTTGCCTGAGGTCACATATATTTTTGTGACACAGCCAGGAACAGAATGTGCCTTTTGAATCCTACGCCAGCATCTTTAACACAATACTGCTGTTCCTTACAGCAGTGGTGAGAAGCGGTACAGGAGCAGGGAAAGAAAAGGAAGGAGAAATCGTGTGGAAAAGTCAACTGGGGACATATACTGGTTCCAAAATATACCTGTCAGGTTCCAGAATGCACCTGACAGATCATACTGGCTTTTTTTTCCTGTTTTCACTAGCTCTGTGTGTGTATTCCTACTGTTGCAAAGGCTTGCTGGCTCAGCTGGCATACAGGTGAATTGTTGATTCCAGGACCAGCTGTGGCCCAGGCAAACTTATGCTGCATCTGCCTGGAGGGCTGCCCGGGCTCCAAAGCCAGGCTGACTCCGGCTGAATTTGTGCAGAGCCAATCTGGTTATCAGTAACTTGTATTATCAGGTGTACAGAATACATCTGAGGGCCTCCATCCAGATCCAGCAGGACTGTGTGAGGGTGCTGCGGGATTGGGATGGTGTCAGCACACGTGTTCTGTAACGGCTTGGAAGAGAAGGCACTGGGAAATGTTAATGAGCAAAATCAGCCCAGATACAGTGTAGGCCTCAAGAGGGAAGTCCTCCCCAGCATCAGTGCTTTGAAGTGGCGTTGTGTAGGAACAGGACGAGCACAGCAAATTCTGGGTGAGCTACTGGGATGCTTGTATGCAACGCATCCCATCGCATCCTGTATTGTCTAGGGGATCGATTCAATGGCACGTTGTCTGTCTGTACTTGAAAATGAAACACTGCAGCTGGATATTGCAAACATGACCGGTGCTTCTGGTCATACAAAACCCCATGCATAAGTAAAGAAAGACCATGCTAAAAACTATAGCCTCCTGGTTGGATGTTAACTGGTACAAAAGTAGTGGAACAGACTTGAAATTTTCAGCCATCTTTGTAACACTGAAGCAGGGTAGAAAGTTCTGGAGAGCATTGGAGAAGTATATTTAATATGAGCTTGTCATTCTTGGAGCTGCAGGGCAGTAAGCATGTGTCATTCCAATGTTTAGACATGCTGTGGCTGATATAACATGGCTCCTCTCTTCTGGAAGAGCTTGATGAAGTATGTTGTAGGTTGCAAAAGTTACTCAAGTTGGATGAGTTTCAATCCTGTAATTCAAACATATTTGCTTTCCTCCCAAAATACGCAGTCGAAAGAAAACTAATAAATAGATACTTCAGTGCAGAGGAACCAAAATTCCGTGTTTCTGAATCATAAATTTCATGTGGCTGTTTTTGCATTAGTAATTTGAGGGCTGTGAGACCCATAACCACAGACAGGACTAGAACTGGGGATTGGGGGATAGTATTGACAAGGTGAAGAGTCCAGAGTGTCCTTTGGCAGGCCTTTGACTTGTTTAAACACCCTCTTTGAAACCTTGTCCCCAAATCTGTCCCTCCTTCCTTGTGTTGTCTTCTTCCACCCATGAAGAAGACATTAACTAGATTTCCCAAGGTACTTATTTTTTGCGAAGGTGGAGCAAGATTGTACCAGGTAACAACTGGAGCTCCCCACCAGTAATTGAGAATGTCTTAAAGGATGAGCGTTCCCTTAGTTTTTGTCAGGTTAATAGTAGTATCAGACGTGAGTCAAATGGAGGCTTTAAAACTCAGCGATCTGAAACAAGTGAGCTCAGGAAAAATCTGCCAGGTAGCTGGCATGATAGGACACCTGCATGGGTGCCTGGCTGTAAATACTGCTCGTGATGTGCTCAGCAGTTTGGCACAAACCTCATTTTTAATATCCCTTTACGACGGACATACTGTTCCCTTCAGACAACAACCAGGCGAAGGGAGGCGAGGCCAGCAGAGCAGCTGGGTGCCCTGCTCCCCGGCATTGCAGCTAGGTCTGCTCTTCAGCAAAGGGGTGGAGGGAGGGAACTGGCTTTTATAAATCAGTGCACACGCCACAGTTGTCATGTATTCTGAGATCAAAATATTCCCAAATTCAGGTTTATCTGCAGAGCTTTTAAACAGATGGCAGAAGCCAAACAGATTTGATAATGATTTCACTCTTCAGGTTTCAAGGTCCAGTGCTATTGTTTGGATAGTGACAGGGATCAGAGCAAATTCTAATGCCAGATTTACCTAGTCTGGGGTTTCCCCAGAGTTTGGACATGTTCATAACAGGGTGGGGTTAGTTGAGGTTCATCTGCTTTCTATGAAGTGAGGTGTATAACCCTGTTCTTTTGCCAGTTCTGGGAAGAAGCTGGGCAGAAGGGGAGGCCTGTTCTTACACATACATACTGAAGAAGCAGAGAGCCTGAACAGGAAAATGCTTTGTTTCAGGGATGGGTCACCACAGGCTCATGAAAGAGTAAAAGCCAAACTTTTCCAAGCAAGACTAGATATGTTAAAATATCACAGGAGGAGCTGCTGGTGGAATAGTTCCAGCCCAGCTGGAAATACTGGAATTCACAGTAGAAAATAGAGTGATTCTAAAAAGCCTTCTTCCTGGTCTTACTCCTGGTGGAATTGATTTCATGATCTGCAAAGGCAGGGGAGATGGGCAGACTGAAAGGCATGACTGAGTAGTCAGTGTTGTTACTCGGTGTAGTTGTGGGTTAGACCTCCTCTGTGGTGCATGCTGAGTACCACAGAACCTAGGGGTGGTGGTCCTTGGCCCAGCGTTTTTAAACAACAGGAAGAAGATACAGCCCCATCCTGATCTCTTTGACAGGGGATCACCCAGACCTGCACTGAACTCGTATGGCTGATGGACCTGAAAAATCCATCATTTTATTAAAAAATCTTTTTGTTTTATGTCAGTGTTGGGAGGAGTATGTTATATTCGTGTGTTTGCATGTATGTCCTTCAGGGTACATTCCCACTCAGAGTTTGTAACCTAGAAAGGTCTTGAAGGAGGAGCTGTCCTCTTCAGTGTACAGCACGGAGCTCCACAGGTCCCAGCTCTGTGATTAGGACTTCTGAGTACTGCAGTCACAACAGGAGTTACTAAGGAACTGTGCTCAGATACTATTATGAAGTAAAGGATTAAATCTGAATTTGAAAGCAAAGAGTGTGGTGTGAAGTATAATAATCTGTATCTTTGTCATCACAACATAAAAGGATTCTTTCCCTTTAAAATATCAGAGAAATACAATTCAGCATGTGTTAGTTCTTCATTAAAGCATTTCTTCCAAGTTTGCTGCATCTCTTACAGGGTAGGGGGGACTCTCTGTACCAAAGTATTTAGGACTGGCTATTGTTGTTGGAGGCCACTGTGTTCTTGCTTTGTTTTATCACCCTTTTCTCCCTTCCCTGCTTCCTTACATGTCACTTTGCTGATCACAGGAGCCGGTGCTGATTTTGTCATGCTTGGAGGAATGTTTGCAGGCCATGACCAGTGTGCTGGAGAGATTATGGAAAAAAATGGCAAGAAAGTGAAACTCTTCTATGGAATGAGCTCTGATACAGCCATGAAGAAGCACGCGGGAGGTGTTGCTGAATACAGGTATGAATTCCACATAGGAGCAATTGCAGTGAGCCAGCCATCCAGTAACATCTGGAAGGGAACTGTGCAAAAGGCACCTGTTGGAATCAGGCCCATGCCTCTGTTCCTGTTTAGGAAGCTGTTACCAATACTTGCAGCAGGAGATCTGGGGGGAGGGATGACATCACGGGGGAGACAGGGAGAAGGGGCTGGGGGTGGCTAGCTAAGAGCAACCTTGTTCACTCGATTGCAGCCAGTGCCGTGGGCTGTCACTGCAGCACTAGCTGCGTGGTCTGCGAAGTCATTAGGCACTGTTCTGACTTACGGGTTTCTAGGGATATGTATGAATTATATGCTGGAACATGGAATACCAGGCTGCAGTTTCTGACCCTCTGCTTGTCCAGGCTGGGTGTCCTGTTGGTGTATGGGTCCCTGGCTAGCCCACACGCTCCCTTCTGTTTGCAGAAAGTGGATGCCTGGTGAATTGGCAAAGCTCAGCTGGGGTTTCCCCAGGGTAGAGTTGAGTTACAGCTGTAACACTAGTGAGGTCCCAGGACCTCCAAAGCACTCTCAGTTACAGACTGTAGCCCCAGGACTCCCTCCTGCATTTGTTGGGCACTCTTAGGTGACAGAATCCTGCTGTAGAGGTTTTCCACCCCTTTTTGGGTAACAGAGCACCAGAATAGCCCCAAATCATGCAGTGTGCGGGAGCTTGGGTTCTGAGCTAAAATCCTTAGGGGAGTGGAAAGAAAGACGGGCTTTGCGAAGGAATCTTGTCCATTGCTATTTTACTCTGGAAAGTGCTGACAATTTTGACTTTTCAGAAAAGCAGATGAGTCCAGAAAACCTCTGTGCCTTCTGTCTTATGAGTGGCAGGTATAGTCACTGCCCTTAGGCAACGTGGTTCTTGTATACTTTGTTAGAGAATGTTTCCTGTCTTACAATATGTGTTGGTTTATTGAGGGGTCCCTTTTGAGTCTTCTCTGCTGGGGTAGATTCAGGCTCTGGTCCCATCTTTTAAACTGCTGTTTGTAAGAGTCTCAGAGCCAGTGACCTTACCTACTGTTCCAGTCATTCAGGACTGATGAGTTTTGTTGTCCATAACTGCTGCAGCTGCTTCAGCATTTGGGTTTTTCCCAATGTGTCCAGCTGCTACCAGAGGAAGAGTTACAGCACTGTGAAGGTGACAGTGCAGAATGTAATGCGGTATGAGATCCACAAAACAAAACAGAATTCACACTTCGACACAGAGGCATGCTGATAGGACCACAACAATCCCAGACATCATGCTAGATAGAAAGCATCTTTGATCCCACCTCCTGTCCTCCACCTCAACATTTGGTTTTGTGATTTTTGTCTAACACTTCTGAAGAGTTAAAATGCACCATAAAAATGTGGGCTAGTTCACCTAGCACTTCACAAAGTGGTAAGACACAGCCTACTTTGGAACATTGACACCCCTCTCCTCTGGCCTAAATCATAGAGCAGTTTGGGCTGAAAGAGACCTTTAAAGGTCATCTAGTCCAAGCCCCCTCAACGAGCAGGGACATCTTCAACTAGATCAGGTTGCTCAGAGCCCCATCCAGCCTGACCTTGAATGTTTCCAGGGATGGGGCATCTACCACCTCCCTGGGCAACCTGTGCCAGTGTTTCACCACCCTCACTGTAAAAAATTTCTTCCATATATCTAGTCTGCATCTACGCTCTTTTAGTTTACAACCATCACTTCTTGTCACAATAGGCCCTGCTAAAAAGTTTGTCCTCATCTTTTTTATAAGCCCTCTTTAAGTACTGGAAGGCCTCAATATGGTCTCCCCTGGAGCCTTCTCTTCTCCAGGCTGAACAACCCCAATGCTCTCACCCTTTCTTCACAGGAGAGGTGTTCCGTCCCTCTGATCATTTCTGTGACCCTCCTCTGGACCTGCTCCACCAGCTCCATGTCTTTCCTGTGCTGAGGGCCCCAGAGCTGGAGGCAGTACTCCATGGGGGCCTCCCCAGAGCAGAGCAGAGGGGCAGAATCCCCTCCCTCGACCTACTGGCCACGCTTCTTGTTACACAGCCCAGGATACGGCCGGCTTTCTGGGCTGCGAGTGCACATTGCCGGCTCATGTCCAGCTTTTCATCCACCAGCACCCCCAAGTGCTTCTCTGCAGGGCTGCTCTCCATCCCTTCATCCCCCAGCCTGTATTGATATCAGGGGTTGCCCCGACCCATGTGAAGAACCTTGCACTTGGCCCTGTTGAACCTCCTGAGGTTCACAGGGGCCCACTTTTTGAGCTCTGGATGGCATTCCTCATCTGAGGCGTCAGCCGCACCGCTCGGCTTGGTGTCACCTGCAAACTTGCTGAGGGTGCACTTGATCCCACTGTCTGTGTCATTGGTGAAGATACTGAATTATTATGAGCTTCTAGACTGCAATAACTATGGAGACTAAGGAAAGCTAGTGGTAGACATTGTACAGGAGAGACCTGGAGACAAATGAAGTCATTAGCTTTCTTGGTCTGGCAGAAAACCCAGGCTCATTAAAAGAGAAGCCTGTGTGAAAATGGGGAAACAGAGAGCTTGTGGACATTATGCTTACTTGATAGACTGTGCTTACTAGACACGGTCTGGTTCTTCTAAGGAAGACTTCTGAAAAGAAGAAAATCAGTTGGACATAGGGATAAGAGATGATAGTAAAGATTTTTTCAACAGCAAAAAAGCTTGTGATGAGTTTTGGCAAGTTCAAAGGGCATTTGTTTTTGCAGGAAAAAGAAAGTATTTCTTAACAAGCAGAAATATACAGTGAATACTGTAGTTTGAGGAGAACATGTGTATCCTTGTAGATTTTTAAAGCCAGGACTTTTCTGCATCTAATAGAATGAGAAGGGAATAAGGATACCTTTACCTTCTGCCTGAGGAGCATGTACATGTCCTTCTTGAATGGCGTGTACCCTTTCTTCTTTACCTGAGCCCACGTACCTCTTTCTGGGGCTCAGATCAGAAGGTAGTGAGCAATGTGAAAGGGATTTCTTTTTTTTTTTTTTTAATCTTATATGGGGCTGTGTCTGTACCAGTTAAAAGCACCGCTATCTGCAGGATATCTGGCTACACTGAGGACAGCTTAGGGGAGCAACCCATGTGACTGGCTTTCCACCTGGTTGACCTGCAAAGCTCTTTTGGCACTGCAGGGTCAGTATGCTTTTGCTTTCAAGCAGAACTGTTTATTTGCAGAAGAAGGAGCTGCACAAGGGTCCATCTACATCTGAGATGAGCTGAAATGATGCACCAGAAAGATGCGCTGCGTACCTCTGAGCTTTGATTCACTCTAGGTTCATATGCCAGTTCCCCAGAAGCAGTGTGCAGTTTGGGGGCTTCTTTTGTCCCCCAGCGAATCTGCTTGTCATCAAAGCCTCCGAACAAATGGTCTGAGTGGACAGCACTAGTCATTATCTCATAATTTAAAAGTAGCAGCTGCCAGTTACACAGAGGTGCTGGCAACCTTTTGTGCACACGAGGATCACTTGCTGCTCTTTGCTACCCTGTGCTTGTGTCAGCCCGAGTGTGGGAAAGGCCTGATGCTGGTCGGGCACATAGTTAATGGCAGCTCCCCGAGAGATCACAGAGCAGCCCCAGCATGCTGCATGGAGCTCAGTGCAGCACAGGCGCTTAGGGCCTGGCCACCACAGAGCTGGTGAAGGTTGCAGGAGAAGTTTGATCAAGCTTGCTGTGCCAGTGGGCCAAAGGACTAAGGCAGCTGTTAAATTCTGCTCCACGTAGTTCGGTGCGTGTGTGTGAGCTGGCAACAAAATGTATTGCTGGCAGGAGGAGCAATTGCCACTGGTCTCCCTTAAAAATGAGATCAAGTACAAGTATTATGTCGTGTAGTAGTAAAGGATGTACAGAAGGGTGCTGTATTTGGCTCAGTCTAGACAGACCCTTTCAATTCCTAAAGGGGAGCACTACACAAATTCTGCTTGATCCATAGCTGTATTTTAAATTGCATCCTGATTTTAGAGTCCCCTGGGGATCAAGTTCTGAAACCTTTTCATCAACAAGGGAGCAGAAGCACAATCTGAAACTTTTAGTCCCTGTTAAGGTATTTTTTGTGCCACTAATAGGTAACCTAGAAGGAGTCCCCCAGTCTACTGCTAGCTACAACAGCTCCAGACATTATATCTGTAAGCCTTGGCTCTGGAAGGAGCCGATTTGCATCTTGTTCACATTGCAGCCGTGATGCAGAGCTGGCTACCCACACCAACCTTGGGCTTGGGCTTGCTTGGCCTGTCCCAGAATGAGTGTCACTGGTTTAAAAATAGCAAGTATTAGTTATCCAGCACTGTAAATGTGCTGGGCATTGAAGGGACAGTTGGAAACAGGGCAAGGCTTTCCTTTGAATTAGTCTTACAGGAAAAGTTACAGGAAGTTTAATCACTTACTAGTTTAGCTTCTAGCAAAGTTGAACCAAAAGGGTTCTAAGTCAGCACTTTAAATGCTGGATACCCCAAACAAGTCAAGTCAGTGAGGCTTCTTTACATGCATTTAAAAAGCCCAGCTCTAAGTCTGTATCAGTGACCCCAATAAGCTGGTTTGTCTTTAAAAGAGCCTGAGCGCTCACAGTGTTTTATTCAAGCATTGGGGAGCTCAGTGTGGTCAGCCCCCTGCAGAATCTGACCGCTTTGTCATTTCATCTTTGCAAAATGACACATTTTGCCTGGAGAAACCAAGCCTCCAGCAAACAGTTAAATTAAAATTGACAGGTAAGGTGAGATCACTGTATCAGGGAATAAAGTCATGACAGTAGTTGTTTCTGTAATGAATATGTCAAGTTGATCCCATTTAATTTTGTATGAAATCTGTATACCTGGTTTAATTACTTTTATGTCATTTATATATTGGTTTATTTTTACATTTTTACCTCTTTCCACAAGGAACGTGGACTAGAGCTGGGAATTTCTGAAAGGCAATTATTAAGTTTCTTTTATGGGAGAAAATAAATAAGGCAAGCAGGAACAGAGACCACATGCAGTATTGTTCAGCTAGAGCCAATTTGCTTTTGTTAACCCTTTTGAGATTTCACAGGTTGTGGGTGAACACTGCAGCTCTACTGTGGTCACTCATCAATTCACAGCTGCTACTAAGCAGAGCCTCTGATAGAATCTCTGCCGAGAGCATCTGAGCACACCTTTCCCAGCTGCTGGGAGACCCAATTGCTCGGTCTTCACCTTCCTTCTCTGAGAAAGGGTTAGTTTTGGGTCATAACTCTGGGAGAGATGTCGGAGCTGCAAATCCCTCAGCCGTTCCTGCTGACTTGCTTATGCAGCTCTCTGCCATGCGTGCCAGCGTTTGTGACACCCCTTGCAATCCATGAGTGGCCTGGGCACAGGCATTTGTTGCTGGCAAAGCAATGTCAACTTGGGGATTTTTTACTTAGTTTCATTTATTGCCAGCTAACATAAACTTCTAATCACTGTTGGGTAATGGAACAAACACGTAGTTAAACACATTTCCTCCCTCTTTTTCAGACACCACTTAAGCCAGACACCTCTCTTCACCCTGCCATGTCTCAGCTCCCCTTATTTCCACCACAGGTCCCACTCGGTCTGTCCCAACTCCTTCCGTGAGAACAGGGGTGGCACAGGACGTTGTGGTCATGCTCGTAGTGATTTCGGTCTGCCACTCCTCCTTCTTACTGTGCCTGCTCCATCGTGAGTTCTCCACAGGCCACAGGCCCTTCGTGGCTGCCCCTGCTCTGGCGTGGGTCACCCGGGGGCTGCAGTCCCTTTGGGAGCGCACGCTTTTGGCATGGAGCACCTCCTCTCGAGCGTGCATCTCCAGCTGCGTGTCTCCTCAGGCGTGTCCAGGTGTGTCTCCTCTCCCAGTGGCTGCTGCTGGTTCTTAACTACACTTGTGCGGAGGTGTCATGTGCTCCCCTGACTGGCTGAGGTTTCGGTGGCTCACACCATTTTCAGAGCCAGGTGGCACCGTCTCTGTGACTGGCATGAAGCAGATCATGGCCTTCTCCCACACGGGTCACACGGGCAGCCCTTGCTACCCAAACTCTACCATCTGTGCCCAACACAGCAGCCGCGTGTCTAACAGTTGGGTGCTCATGTAAACTAACTGGGTGCTCATTCATGTACTAACAGGGTGATTGGGCATAAAGTAGTTGGGCACGCATGCGTGAACTGGTTGGGTGCTTATGCAAAAATTAATTGGGCACTCATGCATTAATTTATTTAGTACTCATGCATGAACTAATTTGGCACTCACACAAGAATGCAGCAGGCCCAGCAGTTTACGGCACCCCTCACCTCTGCAAGGCACAGAGAACTCTTTGAATGTTAATCCATAATGAACTCTTTCAACATCATCACAATCTTAGTACACGTCAGTTATAAACTCCACTCTTCCTCCCTTTGGACCAGAGAGAAGGGATTAGTAGGGAACAGTACACTCACTAAAATGTCACTCTTCCATCCTGAGCACCGTGTTAAAGGGGTTAACGTCACGGTTTGGTTATATACCCATCACAGACCCCACCCCTGGCCCAGACTGCAGCAGTTAAAGGTGCAACAACCTGTGCATAGCCTTAGTAAAATTTCACCATCAGTAGGGTCTGGGCAACATGTTACACCTGTTACAAACTCTTCCCCTTTCCCCTGGGGACTAGAGTATTGGGGTTAACATTAACACAGCCTGAATATATACTCAGTGCAACCTTCACCCCCTCGACCCTGTGGACAAGACTACAGAGGTTAATATTACAACAATCTGAGCACAATGCTTATTACAAACTTCATACTTTGTTTCTGTAAAACACATAACCAGGAAAGCCCCAACAGCTTGAATTACCCATTACAAACTCCAGCCCCTCACCCCTATGGATCCCTATCAGGGTTAACATCATCATAATCTGAATGCTTGCTACAAATTTTAAGACTTGTCCCTTCAAAACAAACAACTAAAACCACAGCGGCAGTTCAAGTTACTCACTGTGCTTTATCATAAAAGTACATGATTAAGATCATACAAGCTGTTGAAGGTACTAGTAAGGTCATGAGTTCAGTGTCTGTAGGGCTTCATTTACATCCAAAATGGGGAGGTGGGGTTGTGTTCACATGCAGCAGCGTGGGCATTTCCCCATTTGGGGCGTCAGCTGACCCACCAAACGGCTCGGCTGTCTCGGGGCAAGCTCCAAAGCCCGACAGCATTAACTCAGCTCTGACCTATTTGCTGTGCTTGCACTTGCTTAACTCACAGCTCTGGCTTTCTGTCCCACTTCCACCCTACACTCCTCCTTTTGCTTCTGGCACATCTGTTACTCCCAACATGTAGGGTGGGAGCATGGAGAATTTCCACCCCTTTTTTGATACTTTTTTCCAAGGATGGACGTAAAACTGGGCTCTCGGCATTTTCTGTGGAGCTTATCTCACACTTCTCTTCCAGAATGCTTCCTCCGGTACCTATAGGTTATTCCTTGATCACCAGGATGTCCCACCAGCTTATCAGCTGATACTAGAGGAGCAGGAGCAACTCTCTAGCTGTCAGAGCTTTGGGGCTGTGACGTTAGGGGTTCACCTCTTTTGTAAGCTTTGGTCCCCAGAGCCAAAAGTGGCATCTCAGAAGTTCCAGCTTCCTACCAGAGCCGCTGCAGGGGCATCTCCCAGGGGCAGGGGCTGTAAACGTCCCCCATTTCTGTAATTTTTCTCTGAAGAACGGCCCATCAAGTGCTCACGCTCTCGGGAGCAGTGTTCCCATCTCTGCAGGGCTGTTGAACCACTGTAAGTGGGGCTGCCTTTGCAGTCAGCTCTCTGCTAGCAAAACATGATGCTCAAGCATGAATTAACAGGGCGCACGTGTGTGAACTGATGGGGCATTCACACATAAATCAATTGGACTCGCATGCGTGAACCAGATGGGCGCTCGTGCCCGACTGCAGTAAACCCTGCATTTCTTACCCACTACAGCATGCAGCGCTCTTCAGCTGGCGGGACCTGGGAGGTAAAATTTGCACTGGATTCCCCACATCCCAGCCATATGCTGTCTCTCACAATCTCACGGGAAACTCCCAGGGGGTTGGGCCAAGCTGAACCTCCCAACTTTGTCAGGAGCAGGTGGGCACGGCTGAAAAAACAAGGTGCAGAATGGTAGCGTGACCAGTGTCGGTGTTATGGGCCAGGCCTTCCCTTCCTGCTGGCACTGGAGCTGAAAAAAGCGTGGTGACTCCCCACAGCACAGGCCCCACAACGCGCCGGTGAGCCCCGGGCGGTCGGCTGGGTGTCAGGGGTATGTAGGTTTTCCATTGGCCACTTATTACAGTGTTTATTTTAAGAGTTTCAAGAAAGAGTCAATTACTCATCAGACGTAGGGAGATTAATCATGGTTCCTTATTCACACGGCATATTAACACTTCTCCTTTATTGTCTCCCTCGGGCTTTGACCTCACATTTAAACTAACAGAATGAAATATAGCCAAGCTCACACTGAAGTACCTCCACATAGCTGCTGTTGCTGCTGTTAATGATTTGCAAATGGAGCCTCCACACAGGCATGCCCTTTCCTTCTTGCACTATCTCCTAGACAACTTGTTTAAGGAAGACGTAAATAAAGCCACAGTTACAACAATGACAGATCCCTGCTGCGTCTTCTGCTTCCATTGCATAGGGGAGAAGGAGAGCAATCCCCTCTCCCCTCCGCATTTCTCTTAGACCCCCCCCTACCCAAGGCCCACCTCTCCAAAGGAGCTGGTGTGCCGTGCAGAACAAGCTTGCTCGAAAGCCCAGTGAGGTCAGCTGGTGATGGGGGAACTCTGCTGCAGGAGGAATTGCCGAGCATGAGCCTGGGGAGAGCTGAAGGGGAAGGAGTGAAAGTTACTTGCCTGGATTCTTCCACGGTGTAACTCTTAAGCTGTGCTTTTGGGAACTGCGCAGTCCGTGCTGGCATGCGCCTGTACCTGACGGTACTCACAGCACTGCTGTTTTTTTCTGGCCTTTTTGCCTGGCTCTGAACTGTGCTAGCTCACCTTTTAGCTTCAGGGGACAGCTCTGCAGCACGTTTCTGTAACAGGTTTCCCACTCCATGTCTGTGGGCTCTGGCGAATCGGGCTGGTAGGGGACAGCCAGAGCATTTCCGTCTGTGTCTGGTCAGTGATGTGGGACTGAGCCCAGGGGCTGTGAAGCCTCTGCAGAGCTGTGCTGAGTGGTGCCTCCTGAGAATCGGCGCCGACATTCCTGTAGGTGGCTTGAGCCTGGCCTCTCCTTACAGTTTAAAGCCTGCAGCTCTCGGGGTCAAATTTAACTTTCAGTAAACCTGGAAGCTTCACTTGTAGGCAGATGGCGCAGGGGAGGAAGGGGCAGAGCTGTAAATACACTCATGGAATACTGGGGTATCTACAGGGTTTGTGTGCTTCTCGTTCCCAGCATTGATGGTGACTGGAGTTGAGGCATTTCAGTGCTTAAAAGCAGCAGCAGCAGAGCAAGGAATAAAGCGGGTGGGGGACGTGCAGAGTATTAAGCTCCACATTGCTCCAGTAAACTACACTATTACGTTTCGCATCTGGACGTAAATGCAGTAACCAATCTCTTCTCCAGGGCTTCGGAGGGCAGAACTGTGGAGGTCCCGTACAGAGGGGACGTGGAACTCACCATCCTGGACATCCTCGGCGGGCTGCGCTCCACCTGCACCTACGTGGGAGCTGCCAAACTCAAGGAACTGAGCAGGAGAACGACGTTTATCCGGGTCACCCAGCAGCACAGCCAGGTCTTCTCTTAGCCCAGGCCTGGGGGGCTGGAGAGGGAGGGGTGGGGGAGAGGAGCAGGAAGGGCTGCTGGTTTGATTTGCTTTCTCCTCCATGTTGTGTTAGTGGCAAACTCTCCTCTCTCTCAGAAGGGCAGCGTGGCAGCCACTGGCGGGGCTGTGGCTGGGAACTGGAAGGCGAAGGTCGTGCAATTTAACACAGTGCCATTGGTTCAAAATGCAATAGCCTCATCTTTTATTGTCGTGCCTATTTTATTTTTTAATCAGCACTTCCTCACCTGTTTTTTTCCCCCCTCTGATAAATAGCTGTTGAAACCTCAGTTAATAAGGAATTGGCTTGTACAGACAGGGCTGCTACGCCCGCACACGCACACGCGTTCCCTTTTTTAAGACTGACCTGTCAGCTACCGCCGCTTCTGGCAATGCACCCTCCAGAAACTGCAGGCTGGGAGGAAAAAAAAAAGATGCAGGGAATTGCATGGAGAAATCAAAAATCAAATTCTCTTAATCTTTGTTCTGGCAAAAGAATGGCTGTTTGTGGCAGGGCTGCCAGCCTGCAGCATGTCAGAGGTGGCTGGTGGCTGAGGCCTGGCTACTGGTGACTTCCTACTGTGATGGTAAAAATGCCAGCTCTCCTTCACTCTCAGTTCGCGGGGCTGGTACTGCCACTCTTACTTAAATCTCCCTGTTCAATGGACAGAGAAGCTGGCACTGAATGTAGCAAACCCATGCTGTCCCCCGGCCCTCAGCTGTGGAGATCATTTGGGAGAAAATGTCCCAGAGCTTGCCTGCTTTTTCGTGCATGCAGTTATCGAATTACCTGGGTTCCTGCTTTTACCTGCTCTCTGTAAACAGATTTGTAAGACACTGAGACTCAGCAACAGTATTCCCACCAAGGGGGTTGGTTCCTCTGCAGCCCTGCCCGTTCCCCTGCCTGTTCAAATCCATTTAGCAAAGGTGTAAAACTGCTGTGCTGTGCATTATCTCTGGCCAGGTGACTGAGGCCGGAGGGATCAAATTCGCTGCTGGTTGTTTGGTACCACTCCTCTGCAGCCCTTGACACCATGAAAAGCAAAAGAGAGCTGTTGGCAGAACAGCCCGACTGCAAGACACTGGTAGGCCGAGGTGGAGTTAAAGCCTTTGCTCTTAAGGCAGTAATGAATGTTTAAGACTCTGGGTAACACTTTAATAAAGTGTAATGGCCCGCTAATTAATTGATAAAACACAATGAAATTTCTTTCGAAATACACGTTGCATCCACATGAACAGCACAGCAGCTCGTTATGATAAATGATGTAAAAGTGAGCACCAATGAATTAATAATGCTTGGCCACTTACTTTAAAGTGCTGCTGAGATCGCAGTACAGTTAACATTACTTCGGTACTTTGGAGTCTGACTTTCCCCTCCTGTAGATACCTGTGGAAAGAGGCAGGCTTCCTTTGAAAAGCAAACGAGTGATCTGTAGGAAGAGGAATAGCAAGGAGAAACTCTAGAATTAAACCCGTATGCTGGACTGCTCAAAAAGCCCTGCACAAGGATTGGTACGACTGACCGTGCTGAGGAGCAAATCTAGGCCACAGGCTGATCCCTGGCGGTTCTGCAGCGTGCTGTGCACGTCAGAAGCAGCACAGAGTGTCTCCTAAACAGCTGCTGTTTTAAATGGCTTCCATTTAACAGGCAGGGCATGACTGTGGTGCGTCCCCCTTCCTCTGCTTTGGAGGTGAGCGCCTTCACGCGAGCACAGGTTACGCTTGTGCTGGCTTTAAGGACCACCGGCCCTGCCCACAGCTCGAAAAGCACCCTGGGCGCGGGGGAGAGGCGGGCCTGGAGCTCCGTTCCCTCCAGCCAGAACCGGGCAGCTTTACCCCGAGCCCTGCGGTGGGCCACGGGCCTGCCCCAGCCCGGGGAACGGGCGGCACTGCTGCTCTGCACCGGTACGGCTGCGGGGGGGTCACCGCTCCTTTTTTCAGATGGGACGTGAAGGGCAGGGTTGTACGAAGGCAGAGGAAGAGCTCAGGCAGGCGTGGGGCCTGAGCACAGCCGTGTCTCCACGCTCGTGCCTTCAGACGTGGGAAGGGCAGCAGCCCGCTGGGCTCCCGCCTTGCTCCCGCTAGCGCTTTTCTACCTTTTTTTTTTAGCTGCATTTCTAAATGGAATTTAATACGTAGCCACATACAAAAAAAAAAATATCTATATTTGTAAACATTTTTTTAAAAAGATCATCGGCACACTGAACCGAGCAGCTTCACGCCGTGTCTGCAGCACTGTTTCTTCCCCAGCGGGCAGGCTGGGGAGGGGGCTGCCTCTCCGCCTCCCACCGGGCAGGCTGCCCAATTCCCCAGCCAGCCCAGCACCCACCTGCCCTCCCCTGCCCTCCCCTCCCCTCCCACACCTACCCCTGACGGGCCAGTGACTCACAGGAAAGGATGGGGATGGGCTGAGCTTAAGTTGACCCTCGAATTCTCCAGGCTGTGAAGGACATGGACACTAAGAATGGTTGCTGACACAGCTTTGACTTAGGGCATTTGGTTTTCTAAAGAGCAGCTCTTACCATCATTTTGTTAAGCAGCACGTTTGCTTTAATTTTCTCCCTCTCTCCGAAGCGAGCAGGTGATAGAAATTGGCTGAACTGGTGGCTAAACTGGGTGTTAAAGGAGGGCTCAAGCTCGCCTTTTTTCCATTTTGCAGCATGTCTGCATCTCGCCCAAAGTTCTATGCGAGTTTTGTTCGGGGCTAACCTTCAACTATGTCAGTGCTCGCCATTCACACGGTACACGTCCGGCTCTCAGGCTGCAAACCAAAAAAAAAAAAAAAAGACGAGCTGGGGCCCTCCCAGACCGCCCAGTCCTCTGCTCGTAGGAGTTGCCCTCTCCTCCCCTTGGCCCCGGGTGCTGTGCCCTGCTCGAGCCCGCCGAGACGGGCCGAGCAGGGACCACAACCCCCCAACAACTGCCTCGTGCCATTTGGGGACCTACCTCACCTGCCCACGTAACCGGGCTCCCCGTCACTCAGTGGCCTCCTGCGGGAAGCGCCGTCCCTCAGCGCTTCGCCCGGGGTGACTGTGCGCAGCCTCGGCCTTCCTCGGCCCCACCACCCCACCGCCCTGCCCAGAGGGGCGCCCGGGCACCCCCGCCGCCGGGCCGTCGTTAGGTCGAGCACCCAAGAGCAATGTGGAGGTTTGGCCGGCCGGCTCTGCAGCGATGGAGCTGAACCTACACGCAGGGGTGCGGAAAAGTTGCAGCATTAAGGGAACCCCTGCAGAGCGCGTCCGGCTCTTCTTTGGCCGTGCCCTCCTGCGCAGCTTGCGCCTCACCTCAGGGCATGCCGGGGGTGAATGCAGGATGGGGCCACCCCGTAAATACCAGGAGTTGTAAGCAGGGGCAGGAGGAGCCTCTGCTTACGTCTGGGGGAGCTTTTCCCACACAAACTGTGCCCGGGTCTTCCTTTCAGCTGGTCAGAAGCGGGGGGAGGAAGGATGGGGGCGAGCAAGGAACACAGCAGCGATTAGCCAAGCGCCACCGTGCTGGGACGGGGGCTGGTGTTTGTCAGGCACGGGCACAGTGAGAGTTTGAAGCCTTTTCTGAACCCAGCGCTCCCTGGTTTATACCGACAGAGCTCCGCAGAGCAGCCTTGCTGCTACAGCTTTTCTGTAGTGTCCATCCATCACCGCCTCCCACCCCTCCAGCTGGGGGGCTGTTGCTTTTTAGTTGCTAATATTAATTTTACACCAAGAGTTCTTTGTTGGAGCTGCGAGGGCTCCGGCAACCAGTGCCGGGTTTGGCCTTGTTTAGGTAGAAGAGAAAAAAAAAAAAAAAAACAAACGCAAAGCCAAGGCCCAGGAGCAGCAGTTTGCCTTCCACAGCGGGCAGAGCGGGCAGGCAGGAGAGGGCAGGGCCCTTCCCCGCGGGCAGGTCTCGGCACAGCTCCGCACCCCTGAACACAGCACGGGGCCCCCCCGCAGCCTGCGCGGCGCTTGTGGTCGTTGAAGGGAGCCCTCCCAGCCTTTACACTGTCTACCCGTTGAGGTTTTCATGCACAAATAAGTAATTCAGAGTCCAAAACTCCTCGGTGTTGCTTCTGTGTAATCGGCCAAAAAGAGCCGGTGAGCGTTCGCTGTTCTCCTGCCCCACTCGGCCCCACTGGGCCCCGCTGCGATGGCGAGCGAGCGAGCGCTGGCATTTCAAGGGTTTGAAAGTTGTAAATGGAAGGGGTTTGTTATGCAATAAAGAGCTTCTCTCTGATGAAGAGGGCGTTATGGCCATGGACGGGTACGTGCCTGCTTCTGCGTCGTCGCGAGTAAAAGCCAACACTCTCAAATGTGTTGCCAAAGGCGGGGGGTGTGCGTGTGCGCGTGTGCGTGTGTGTGTGTGTGATTAAATTGGGCAAATTACTTCCCTAGGAAAGAAGTTCCCTCCCATTCAGCCCTAACGCATAAAGACAAAACACACGTTTGCAATTGGCACTGTTATTTTATTAGTACGAGTATACTGAAACAATAAACTTGTACTGGTATACAGACAATTTCTTTAAAACAATTTTGTTCAAATTTTGAATCAAACATTGTTTTATTATAATAATGAAATAATTTCTACCTAGAAAACCTGCAAGCACCATCAAAGAAAGGGACCATAAAATTCAATAAACAGACGCGAGTGTATCCTACAAATAGACACACCACCATTAGAAAATAGAATATGAATTCTTCCATTTTTTTTAATATTTGTTTTAAAAAAGCTAGTGCAAGTACAATATTTTACACTGGAATTACAGAGAGTATGCACGCATATGGAAAAAAGTTCTCCTGTCACAATAAAAGCTCTTAACTATGTCTGTATGCACTTAAAATCTTCTCCTCTTTTCAATAAGGTGCAAAACGTTATTCCCTCCCTATTTCTCCTTTGTACTGGCCATGTCAGCTCAATTTCTCCCCAACACAAAGCTGCGATATCCCTTTTACTGGGCCTACACTAGGAACTACACTGGAAGTGTGATTTGCAACAACCCTCATTAGTAATACCAGACGAATTAAGGAGAAAAAAAAAAAAAAAAAAAAAAAAAAAAGACATTAAAAACTACCACTGTAGAATGGCTAAACCTTACCCCGGCACGGCCAAGCGCCGCTGCCGGCTGCCGGGAGCGGTGACATAGCTAGTACAAAATGATTTTCAGTAGCTCACCCGAACTGAAAAAGGTTGGGAAATCCCCCCCCACCCCCCCACCCCCTTTTTTGTAACACTGCGAAAAGAACAGTGTTCAACAAGTTAATATATTATTCCAACAAAAAAAAAAAAAAAAAAAAAAAAAAGGAAAAAAAAAAAAAAAAAAAGAGCAAATACATACATTAGTGAGTTTCAACATTAGCTGACTGTCGTGAAGAGCCGTATCTACGCCTTAACAGGTTAGTAACTTCGCTACGAGGCCAGCCCGACGGCCAGGCAGAAGACCCGGGCCGAGCCACCCGCAGCCGCCCCCGGCCCGTTTCTGCCCTCAGCTACGCGGAGCCAAACCCGACCGACTCGGACAGGGGTTCTGCAGAGCGCCTTCAAAGGGAGGGGGCGTGGGTCCCGGATTTGTAAAGCAACCGAACCGCCAGGGCGGGATCCCCTCGCCGGCTGGCGGGGAGGGAGCGACGGCGCGGCGCTGCCCGGGGGGCCGGCGGTCCCCACGGCGGCTCCGCGCCCGCCGAGGAGCTGGGCCCTGAAGGTTCTGCTCCTCAGCAATGCCGAAGTACAGCAACGACAGCTTCAACGAGTGACTAGCGCTCGCTGCAAACAACACTTCCGATGCATGCCTACTGCGTGGTCGAGGGAAAGGGCAAAGGAGCTTTGACCGCTCAAAATAGAAGTGAACAAAAAAGAAACAACCTTGGATGAAGCCTCCATAAAATCCTCAGTGGAAGACTTGAGTCCTTTCAGCTAACGACAAGAAAAAACCTACAGAAACCTTAGAGACTGTTATTGTAGAAATACTACCAGTTGGCTGAATGCACTTCATCGTAACGCAGCTGGGGCTGGTTTTCCGAGCGCCCCGGGGGTCGCTTGGCCGGGGCGAATCTTCCTGCCCCGTGTGCCTGCGGGACCGAAGCTTGGGTTACCTCCGGGGAGGGGGACGGGGGCAGCCTGAAACTTCACCCGCTCCGCCCTGCCGCCGGCTCCCAGCTGCCCAGCTCAATCTTTGGACGGGAAAAGGACCCTCTCCTCGGAAACTGCCTCGGGATCCTCTCCTTTTGGCTTCGGAAAAACACCGGTCTCGCCACGGGTCAAGACCGTCGCTGGAAACGTGCGGTGTGTGACTGACCGCTCCCCGCGCAGCGGTGGGGGAGAGGGGGGCAGTGACAGGGGCTGGAAGGCCGGGGCCGCCTCGGGCACCGCGCTGCCGCCAGCGCCGGGCTAGGATCCCTTGTTAGAAGCACTTCTTGCTCGGGGTTATACTCTTTGGGTTTCGTCTGGAACAGGAAGCGCTGAAAAAAAAAAACGTGGAACAGCATCCCGGAGAGAGGGGGGAAAAAAAAAAGAAAAAAAAAAAGAAAACCAAAACAAAACAAAACCAAACCCAAACAACTAAACGGGACCGAAAGGCTTGAGGGCCCTCAGCCCCGGCCCCGGCCTGTGGGCTGCCAGGGGCTCCCCTGGCGCAGGCGCGAGGGACTTAAAGCCAAAATACAGCCGGAGAGTGAGGCTCCGGCTCTGCGCGGTAGCCACCCTTTGAAGCGCCCAGTAGCTGCACTCAAGAATTGCTGCTCCAAGGTGTATTTTCAGCACAGGAATAAACAGTGTGAAGCGTGACTCCATTCCCCAGAAATGGGACCCATGTGATACGAACAGAAAATTAAGCACAGTTGTTCTTTAAGAGCCTTTTAAGTAATAATTCTTCCTGGCCAAAGCCAATACAAATCAGATCATCTAGACATGACATTTTCTATATACAAAAAACATGTAACTTTCAACCTTTCTCTGCTTTTGTATTTAAAAACTTTTTTTTTTTTTTTTTTTTACAAACAAGGTATGAAACTCACTGTTCAAACAGAGCCATCTCTTTTTCAAACACTGAATGAATCATTCCAACATTCATTTTTCTTTTGTGCAATTTTTTAAAACGTTACCTGTACTCCTCAATGTGAGTGCTTCAAAAAAAGTTTCTATTTTTAATAAGCTTCTCAAATTAGGTTTACATCAAAAAATATTCCCACAAGGTATAGTGCTACAAGAAAAGATCCTATCAGTAAAGGTAACACATCTGAAGCGAGGTCGTCTATGTAAAAGAAATTGAACTCTGGAGTAGAGGTGTGCAACGCGTTTGGAATTTCCCTATCGACACAAAGCAAGGCTGTCCTCAGGACAGGGAATCAACTGGACACGTAGGCATATGCGTAAAAAAAACATTCACACATATTTATTTGTGTGCAAACAGACACTTCTGTCTGAGGGTGTGTGTGCACGTATGCTTATCTGCATCAACTCATTCTCATTTTGCGATCTATTTTGGGATTTGGGGGGGTGGGAGGGCTGGATAAACCAGAGGAAAGGAAATTTCTGCCTGCACTCTGGCGGTGCGTTCCTCCCCCTCGCTTTTCGCATCAGCACTGGCCAGAGCCCCGAGCGGACTCTGCTGTTACCTGTGGTGATGGGGAGGGAAGAAATGGAAATGATTTGTACGAGCGCGTGTCCCGCTTTGCCACTTCTCGAGTTCCTGGGACAGCAGAAGCGTTTCATCAGGCCAAACCTGCCCCACCCGCCTGGGGCTTCTGCCCTGGCGAACCTGGACGAACCCCAGGATTTTTCCAGCTGCCTGATTAAGGTCAGGATCTGGCCCTGACTGCACCAAGCTTCAATTTCACAAAGGTTTGTACACGTGCTTCACAGCAAGCTCCCGAGCAGCCCTCGGCGGCCAGCCCGGACCCACCATGAGCACGCGTGGAAGTGTTTGCAGAACTGGGTCCCACGACACGCAGAGCACTGCGCCAAGAGCCCCCTCATTTGAAACAACACTGTTAGTGTTCAAAAATACTGAGGATTCGCTCTCCTTGATACAGGACGTGGGGTTTGTTGGTTTTTTTTTTGGTTTGTTTTTGCTTTTTTTTTTTTTTTTTTTAAGCAGTTGCAAGTATTAACAGAAATTCACCATCTGCTTTTTACTATTGGCAACACACTTTAAAAGTAAAATAAATTTCTGCAGAGAGTGAATTTTCATGAAAGCCAACAGCTACAGTTCACGCTGAGCTTGCTGCTTTCGTATTGCAATCTAAGTGAGACCTACAAAGTTTAAACCATGAGATGCAGGAAATCCAAACTTGTCTGTAACATTGTACATCCCTACTCCAGAGCAGTAAAAGTGCTGCTTCTGGTCACATCAGTGTACCACACATATGCCAGCCCCATCCCTGAGTAAAAGGTGTGAAAGGTTTCTAAATGTTCCTTGATTTAAGGGAAACGAGAGTAGTGATGTCACTTCCCCATGCCGAGAAAATGACGGGAACAACAGGTCGAACGAAGCGACAGCGGGACAAAGGAATTAAAGGAATAAAAAAAGGACCGTGTGTATCCCCCCCCCTCCTCCCCAGGTCTGTGTCTTCGAGGGAAAGCGAGCCCAAGGGCAACGTATGAAATGGTGAAACAGGTCAACAGCGACTCTGATTTGGGTCTCGACCAGAGGACTCGAGGTAAGTGACATCAAACTCCAATTCCCCGTGATGTGGCCCAGACAAACTGAAACAATGCCTAAGTTAAACACTATAAGGAACAGTCATTTTATATATATAGATATATAGATAGATTAGATAGATAGACAGATAGATAGATATTTTTTTTTTTAGAAATCCCTATAAAGAGGTTCTCGTTTTATTTTCATTTGCCCTGACTAATTTCTTGGTGATTGTATGCGTTTCGTTGTAAACTAAAGAGGCCTGCTACAACAGAAAGAGAAAAAACAAAACAAAAAGACAAAAAGAAAAAGCAAGCTACTGTCAGTTACTATTGCAAAGTGGAGGCCGCGCAGCAGCAGCAGCAGCGGCCAAACCTCCTCCATCGGCTTCGCCTCCGCATCTCCACGCCCGCGAGTGGAATTTCTGCGTGTGCCCGGGGACCGACGGCGCTTCCTCGGGCACGGGGACTCGCTGCGAGGGACGCTCGGTGCTGGGGGAGAGGCAAAGCCCCCCCTTTGCGAAGGACTTGGTCCCAGGGGGGATTTTTCTCTCCCCGGTGGGCGCCGGGTCCCGCCTGGGTGCCGGCGCGGCGCGGGGCGGCACTGGGCTGCGCGGCCGGGAGCCGCTCCCCGCCTGGACGGCACGCAGGCATTAATACAGCTTTTCTGTTTGTTTGTTTTTCTTTTGTTTTTCCCTCCTTTTTTTATCTCCCTGGATCTTTTTTTAACATCAAATACAAAAAGGGTTTGTGTTTCCCGGGGCAAGGGATGCTTGACCCTTAATATGTTGGTTTTTTTTTTTTTTTTTTAGGGGGAGGAGGGGAGAGGATAGGGAGGGAGTTATTGATAGGACAAAAAGGTAAAAAGGAATAAACTATTCAAAAAAGAACAAAAAGAGGGGAAATCAGAAGTGGGTATGAGATCTAGCTAACACCGCACGGGTGAGTCTAAGTTGGCACGTAAAGTATTGCACATCCTACGAAAGCCAAAGCATGGAAAGGGACAATTGTTTGGAAAGAACCAGTTATTTCAGAATTCCTCAGTCTGAAATACAAGCACAGAACTAATACATTCCTATTGCTCCAAACGTATTTTTTTATTATTATTATTTTTTATTTTTTTTTTTTTTTAGTGTTAGTTGAATAGATCCAGTCAGTTTATTAGCCCCTGCTTCCTTATTAACCACAAATGTGTATGCGTATGGTTTTGAGATTTTTTTTTTTTTTCCCAAGTACACGTGAAGTACGGAACTAGTGGTACGAGTGTGAACTAAAATCTGCAATTCTTTCTATTCCTTTACCACCAAAGCTTAAAAACAAAACAGGAAACAAAATGAAACAATAAATTGCAAGTGCCCTGAGCAGAGTATATGGAAGATTAAGCAACTTCTCTGAGCAGAAATATTAACAAATAAGCACTAACTAAGCAGTGTGACTGTGAGAAGAAACCCACTCAGCTATTTGGTAGCCCGCCGAGAGGTTAATAAAATTCAAGGAAATTCAAGAAAAGTTTCAAGCTATTTTAAACGTATTTCAACTTTTTGGTGCACCCCAGAATATGGTATAAAAACAATTAGTTCTGGTGTGAGCTAAACTTCAAGTAACAAATAACAGAGTCAAAGCTGGGGTTTGGGGTTGACATTTCTTCTCTTAAATAAAACCACTGTATTTTAGGGGAGAGGGGAAACGAGATTTTAAATAAATTTGTTCACTTTAGGTTACTGCGTTTCTAACAACGGACTTTTATTTCCTTTTCTCCCTCATCAGCACAGCTTCTTCAAAACTACCTGAAGGATGCGAACTCGCCAACCAAAACCGACGACGCAAACGCTTGCTCACGCAGGGCCCAAGCACGATCCCACTGAAACCAACGGGATCTTTTTCTAGTGGCAGCAAGAGGCCTCAGAGCTCAGCCCCCAAGTGCTTCAAACCTGCAGCTCCCCGAGGCTGGCGCAGGAGGCTGGGTGCACAGCACCTCAAAGGATCCGGCCCTACGCGGGGAAAGAAAAGACTGAACAGCATGAATCCCCCCCCATCCTACTTGGTTTGTACCAAACTCTTGAAATGTCGCCTTTCCAATGGAAAACGATGCCATTAAAATAACAAATAATAATAATAATAAAATAACAATAGGTTTGTTTTCAAAACAAACAAACACCTTGCTAATGTATAGAAATGTTTCTTGTGGAAAACTCTCTCAGCAAGTCTGAAGAAAAATTCTCAGAGCTGTCCCGGTAGGACCTGGTTCTGTGTGGCAGATATGGTAGAAAGACCAAAAATGAACTTTGAAAGGAACGTAACCCTATGAAATGGCCTAGAGCGTAGGCAGGTTAGTGAGTAATTGCTACATTTGTTTATGCTCTTTCAGACCCCCCCCAACCCACAACATTATTAGGTAAAAACTGCAGGAATACCACACAAATGATAAACTCAAGATGTGCAAATTGCAAGATTCTTTAAAGTCCATCTTTTTCAAAAACACTGGACAATGATTTTTTTTTTCCTCTTTCCTTTTTCCTTTCTCTTATTTTTTTTTTTTTTTTAATCATCTGTCAGCTCACATATGCCTTTAACTCTTCCTCAAGCATTAAAGTTTAAAAAGTGCCTCCTATTAAGTAGTCCTTTGTGGACAATGACTGTCACATACTAGTTCAATAATTCACATTCATCCCTTTGAAACCACATTAAAACTTTCAGCATCTTGCCTGTGAGAAAACTTTACATAGTTGCATGTAGTTACAGTGTTGAAGAGATTTGTTTGTTGGTTGTTGTTGCTTTCCTAGCAGATTAAAGTGAGATACAGTACGTACTGAGTGTTAGACCAGGATGCTCAGCAATAAAGTGTGAACAGCATTTTAAGTGCTTAAAGACATTCTAGGTTCATCTTCAACAGCGGATTCCTGTGTCACACCGAAATTTGAAAAAAGTGGCACCAGTTGTCCATAATCATGAACTAAAAACAGTACTAGAGTTAAAGACAAAGATTTGCAACCTAACTGCAAACGATGGATGCCTGTGATCTCAAAGGGGCAGTATGCGTCTACCTTGTGGAAGCAAATGTCAATGGCGTAACCCGGTCGATTTGTCTAACACTGCACAGAAACAGGAGTGAGCCCGAGCCAGGCGCATCCACGGAGCCGGAGGCCTCCTTGTGCACACCCACGCACACCCACGCCACACGCACGCACCCACCCACCCACCCACCCACCCCACCGCCGTGAAGGAAAACCTTGCAGGGCGACCGGTGCACGAGTCCGTACAGCCTCCCCGTCTGCTGACTCCGGGCAATGGAACTGCACTAGCAAGCAGAAAGGAAATGTTGGTGTGGCAGTTGCTTTAGGAATAAAAATCAGTGCAGTCAGACCCCATGGGGGGAAAAAATATATATATACATATACACACACACAAATATATATATATATATATACACACACACACATATATATATATATATATATAGTAGAGCCTTGAGTAAGAGTTGGCTTGTTGTTGAAAACGTCAGAGACTGTCTGATCCTTTTCAGTAACACCCATGGGTTGTGGCCTCAGCGTCCACCCGGGGTGAGGAAACCTCTTCACCAACCCGCCACAGAGCTGCAGCCCCTCCTCGGGACCGGCGTGCACACATGCACCCACACACACACACGCACGCACCCCACGCGTGACATACACCTCTGCTACAGTTCCCTTCTCCTCGCCTCCCCCCTCCCCGCCCCCCCCCCCCCCCCCCCCCCCCCCCCCCCCCCCCCCCCCCCAAAAAAAAAAAAACCAAAAACCTGGAACAGGAACCGAAACAACAAAAGAAAAAAACAACAAACAAACAAACAAACAAATGAAAAAAAACCCAACCCAACCCCAACGATGAAAAGAAAACAAAATCACAGCTGGACCCTGTCCTACACGAGGTGTTAGAAAACAGGAGCCATGACAACACATTCATTTCCACTAAGGGTGTGTGAAGCAGATACTGCCCCTTCTGTCGCTCTCGATAAACCTAGTCACTGACAAACACTTGTGGAAAAACATATGCACCAGTCTCCTGCATAATACCAGCTGCAACTATAACAACAAGGTTATAACATAAACCTAAAATAAGATGATAACATGTAAATACTGGGTTATTTAGTCTACAGTACAGTAATCTGGATAAAAATGACAAGGGATAGCCTAATTTCCTTTCCCCAAACAACTTTTACTTTCCTACGTTGGATCGACCTTCAATGCAAATCTTAACCTCCTGAGGAATAAAAGAAGGCTTGGGAAGAGTCAAAGGTGGCTCCTCTTCTGATTTCTCTAGTTTTCGTGTTTCGGGGGCTGACCACCTCCTCTTCCTCGTTGCCGGGGGCTTGCTGGGTTCTGTTTTGGTGAGCAAAGGTGCTGCAGGCAATCCTATTTTGTCCGGAAACTTCAGTTCACCGTTCTCAGCTAACATCTGTGCACTTCCCTGATTAATCCCGTTTTCCTGCTCCGCATATCTGTGTCTACTTCCAGCTAGACTGTCGTTCTTTGAATGCTTCAGCAAGATACTAGCTGAGTCCATGGGCTGGCCCTTTTTAATAGAGCCGTTCTTCAGGTTCTTGAGCGTGAGCGATATGCAGACGTCCCCCACCGAAAGTTTGGAGCATGGCAAATCAAAGAGCTGGCTGGTTCTCTCGGGGCAGCAGGACGACCAGCCTTGTCCGAATACAAAAAAAGGGTATTCTACCAAGACTTCCACGCTGACCTGCAGAAAGAGAGGGGACAACAGAGAGAGACAGAGGGAGAGAGAGAGGGGAGAGCGTGAGATCACCCGTGTGCCCTCATGCACGTGGACGGCAGACGGCGCCTGCCGCGGCGGAGAGGGATAAGGCTGACACGGCCAAAGTGCTCTTCGGCTTCCGCAGAATCCGTACGTCGACCCCCAGGCTTCACGCCCGTCCTTGTCGCATGGGCGTCAGCGGTTTCTCCGGGTTCAGCATTCCTTAGCACAGGGACCTCAGCGGGAATCCAGCTTTACCTTTAGCCAGCCGCTCAGCGCGGCGCGGACAGGTCGGCTTCGGCACCTGGCAAACCCCGCTCCCCGCCATCGCCCCGTGGCGTCACCCGCACCTGAAGACGCTTTCCGACCAGCGGACGGCGGAAGGGGAGCTCTCGGTTCTGACACACGATTTCCTAAATGACCACCTCTGCCCCAACAAGCATGCACTTACCAGGGTGAAGTGCCCGAAGGCGTGCTGTCTGCCGGGGGAAGGCCACGAGGAGGGACAGAGTTGCAGCTGTAAGAGCAGCGGACGCGATCCCGCCCTCCCCCTCCTGGGTCTCCTTTTCCGCACTGTGTCCCCTTTTCCCTCCCACTTTAAAACCACGGCCGGTTCTGAATCCTACCCAAGCGTCGCACAGGGAGCTGCCACAGCCAGGAGGATGGGCCAGCAAAGGGTGCCCACGGCTCCCTGACCTTGCAGATGCTGGGCCGTGAGGTCCCACCGTGATAAAGCACCTAAATCCCCGCTTACCTTGGCACGTGCCGGCAGCCCGGCGCGCAGTCTGCCTCTGCAGGCTCCAACACTTGACGTGAGCTCGCATGATCCACAACCCACAGGGCCGAGCCCCCGCCAGCACACCACAACAAGGGCGGGGAATCCTGACTAATGCCTTTTTAAAATTTGGCCCGTGTTTTTAACTTGCTGTGTGCCACACCAGTGAGGTCTGCAACTCTGAGAGCGTGGTCAGATATACACCGCTCTGCTCCCGGGGTCCCCGCGTCCTCTTCTCAGGCATGGGGGGCAGGATCCTGCTCTGACGGTGTAACCCCTATTTGGTAGGGACTAAAGGGTGGGAGAACACCTGAATGCACCTGCTCATCTAACTTCTGAGCCATTCAGCAGGCACGGAGCATACCAGCTGCCTGCAGAGCCTTCCCTCTCCAGGAAGAAAGGAACGTCACGGCAGGCTTGCGAAACCACCTCTCACCCTTGGGAAGGAGTAACGCAGTCATACCGAGCATGGCTTTTGTATCGTTAAAAATGCATCTCAACATTAAGGAACAGCAGCAGTTTGAAATGCACATTGCACTCCAGTGTTCAAACACCTCTGTTCGTAATATTAAGTGTGAACCTTGGGATGAAGTCGCAGGGCCTGTCTCCATGGCAGTGCAGCACCCAGCAGCCCTGCCGCGTCCCTGCTAGCGCTGCCCACCCTCGGAGCCTCCCTCCCTCCCTGCAAGCAGGGCCCGAGGTGGATCCCCTCACGCCCCACCGGCTCCACATCCCTTCTGGGCAGGAAGACTTGATCAGGGATGTCCCACAGCTCAGGGACAGAAGCTCCAGAAGCAGGAAAACCAAAGACTCCCATCAGGTGCCGACTGTGCCTCCGACTGGTTAAGCCCATGCCATGCGCTAGCAGTCAACGGCAGTTTAGGAGACAGTCGATTCTGTCGCAAAAAACTTAGAAAGTCTATAAATACACGCTACGTACTTCTGCAACTAGGCCAACGAATAACACTGCATGTATTATCCTACCACTCCACCTGCCCAACACAGTAAGCCACTGTACAAGGAATTTCAAAAGGAGCGGTTTAGAGGCACGAGATACCCTCCCACTACATCAACTTCTGTCATATTAAACCTTTTCTGACCAGAACTGTCTGCCGACACTCAACTAGACACATGGCAATAGCGGAAAAGGACCTGATTCTAGGCCTAGTTTATGCTTGGAACTACGGAGAAAGTGAGGAGAGGTAAGAATGAAAGTCCCATCCCCCCCATGTCGTTGGATAGAAACACTACAGCGCCAGGATTTGCAGAAATATTTGCCCAGAGTTTGGGATCATATTCCATACATATGCATCTCAGTAAGGAATCTGATTGGGAGGAGTGGTGAATATCCAGTGTCTGCCATGGGCTTAAATGGAAACTGCTGTCTACACAGAGCTGTGGGCTTCTCTCCAGGCATGGACCATCTGGTGGACACAGCTTTCTCCTTTATATTGCTATGTCTCTCCTCTTTCTTTCTTGATTCCTGCTTGCTGTATCTTTCTTTTTTTCTCTCTTTTTCTACTTTCCCATCCTTGTAAAAAGCTGTTTCTGTCTTGGGAATTGCACATACTTGTGTGCATCGTCCTCAACAACACACAAGTTCCTCTTGATGTGGACACGCTTCTACCACACGTCATACTTTTTTTTTTTTTTTTTAACATGGCATCCAAAAGACTTGCCTGAGCTGTCAATCACTGAAACAAATCCCAGAATCGCTGGTGGTGATCACGAATCACACCAAATATTAAAGATGGTGATATGCTGGAAATTCCACCATCCGGTCATGGTGTGCATGTACCACTATCAGTCTGAAATGGGTTCCCTCATGGATTATCCAACCCTGTTTTAGCTGGCTGCTTCTGGATTCAGCTAACTTGGGATTTAAGGCAACCATTCTCTACAAGCAATAGTCGTCAAAGACATTTTAAGCGTGAAAGTTCAGTAAGAACAGCCCCCCCCATGTATTTTTTCTGATCCCTGCATTAAAACACAAAAATTTAATTTTAAAAGCTCCCTCCCCCAATATCTCTCCATGATTCCTGTAGAAGAAAGAAATTTGGAACTTTTTTACCACCTACTGAGACGATAAAGCAAGGAATCAAAATGCTGGTTGCTCTTCAAGCACACTGAGGCTCTACTGAAAGCTACATTTATCTTTCTATTTTTTTAAGAGTCACTAGCGAAAACACCCAAAACTCTTCAGTGCAGCTGCTGAATATCTGCAATTTTCTATAACCCTTTATAATTTCTCAGCCAAACTCAGTAGGTAAGACAGGGAATTCAGACTGCTCAGGAAACCCTGGCTGGAGCTGGAACATGGCTAACAGGTGCTGGAAGAACCTGATGCCCAGAGAATACCCTCCCCATCACTCAGAAACACAGCAACTTTAGTCTTGGGGCTTGCTGCTGAAACGAACGTAAGAAGCACTAAAGCAAAAAGTGCCTAACAGAAGTGGTTTGTGTGAACTGTATTTTAATAAATGTAAACACACATTTTCTAATTAAGTGTTTTTCTCCCCGATGTTATTAAAATGTGATGAAAGTAGGAGTGGCAGGCTGGAAACAAAGAGAAGGAAGCGGTTCTGGAAACAGGGTGCAGGGAAGCAGTGGAGCTCTCCGCCGCAGGCCCTGCCCCGGCTGCCGAGAGGCTCCTCGGGCCCAAAAAACAACGGGGTGGATTCGTGGGACAGAAGCTCTCCCTCTCTGAGAGAGAAGTCTCTGCAGTGCCTTGCTCCCACACGACCTCTCCTGCTCAGAGATTTTGGGACTCCTGATGTTCCCACCACCCCAAGCAACACCTGCTTTGACAAGAGTGGATTTCCTCTGAGAGATCTGCAGGGCTGTAGGCAGCACCTCGTGCCACGGGGACTGCCCGGCACGGCACGTGGGCTGGGTGGGCATCTCCCCAGGGCTGCACCTCGCCCAGCTTCTGCACGTCGTTGTTCTAACAAACGCGCCCAGGGCTCGAGGGTTAGGGGCTACGGCTCGGCACAGCCACGCGATCCCACCGTCTCTCCAGAGGAGCCACCTCTGCCCATCACACCCCACCCCACCTCACAGGCTGCTGAGTTTATCACATGAGCTCTTATCTGCTGCACTCCCAGTAACGCGCACCCGAAACCAGACCAGAGCCGCCCCGTCACTCAGAGGAAGAAGGACTTACTGTGAGCAGGGGACACGGACATGGAGATCACAGGAGGGGAAGGCTGGCAAGGATAATGGAAAGGAGAGCACAGAGTAAAAGAAAAAGTAACCAGTTTGTGTGTGTGCAGAGCTAGAAGGGGAAAACTAATCTAGAGAATGATCTAAAAAAATATGCACTAACTAATAGGGCTACTAACAAGATGCTCTAACGGGACTTTTCCATCCCTAGCATCTATGATTCTGTTTTTTTTAAAAAAATGAAAACTAAGAACTGTATGTTCATCTTTTCTTTTTAAGCTATACTTTAGGAATGATTAGGAACTGAAATGCAGGGATGAAAGTAAGCATTTCAGAGAATTTATTTTACATCTCTTGTGTGTTTTGACCTTAACGTCAATGGAGGCGAATTAGTGGCTTCTGCTTGTTCCCGGCAGCAAAAGAAAGGGCAGGTAATAATAATTAAAGTGCTACTACAAGAATAATAAGTGGAATTGCAAAGACATGCAGATCCACAAGGCTCTTCTTTTAAGCAACTTGAATGCAGAAGAATAACTGCTAGACTCTGGCTCCTGGTTCACTTGATACTTACTTGACTTCTTCCTAATTCAGAGCAGGGATGCTGTGACATGGAAACCTAGCATCCCTCCAGGGCTAAGGCCGGACACTTCACTGAAAAGGCATGCAGCTTTAGGTGGGATAATTTTCTAGGTTTCCCTACCTGGAAGAGGGTTGGATTTGCCAAGCGGCTGGAAGATGAGGAAAGGAAGGAGGATGAGCTCCTTCTGCCTATGTGTTGTGCTGGGGAGGGGCAGCTGTGGGCTTGCAGTGATACGATACAACAGCAGCTGCCCGGTGCCTCCCTATTTACATTACAGTTGTATATGCTCAGCTAAAAATAATCTCCTACCTCTGTCCCTCAACTGGCGAGAAAATTAGCTAATGTTTGCACAGAGTCTGAAAATACAAACTCGTCAATATTATAATGACTTCCCAGAGATCCCTGGGAGGAGTACGTAAGTGAGCCAAAGCTAATGATAACAAATGCTATTTTTGTATGGCACTTACTCTTTACAACTTACGCTCCCTTGATAATACCATTTGAAAAGCTCCCTCCTTCCGGAAGTATGCGTGCAACTGACACTTAATTGCAATAAAATACTTCATCAAGCAACACTACACACGCAGCTCTATCCCCACTGTACTCCGGAGTCAAGATATATTTAAGTGCAGCAGCTCCACAGTGCCACTGCTCAAAGCAGCGTGACTAAATACTGTTCTTTCAACGAGAAGACTAAGCTCTCTTCACACAGGCAATTTTCTAACGACTAATGACTGCCGCATGCCTGCTTATAAGGCTAAATGCTTTCATATAGCCACGTCGGGCTGAGGGTGAGGTCGTGGAGACTTTGAGCACGTAGAAACAATCTCCTCTCTCTCTCCCCAGGCAAGGGAAAACCGGCAGAGCCATCCCTGCTATGCAGGGACACAGCTGATCTGGGAAGAGACCCAAGTCCTGGAATCTGCAGGAAACCTAAATTAAACCCCCGTTTCTAATCATATCTCTACGTGACTCGCCCTCCATTCTGGAAGCATCCCCGGTGGGAAACACAGCTGGGGAGTATTTCGGCTGCGATGATGTCAGCCCGCTCCTGATAGGCTTCTCTGTAAGGTGACACTTTGCTGGGTGAGACCCGTGTGCCTGGCCCTGGATTTTTACAGCCTCAGACTCGGCTTGCTTTCTGCCAGAGGATGGCACTCCACCCCCTGCAAAGGCACTCTTCCCCGCGCCCAGGGCTACAACACATCGCCTGCGTTGACAGATCTGCGAACGAGACACGACACAAATGCTACCTGCTAATTTGTACCTCTTCTGCTGGTGCAGAGACCGGTGGCCTGGCTGCAGGGAGAGAAATGAGAGCAAGAGGAAGATTGCAGATGGGAGATTGCTACTTTTGAAATCTCATTATTCAAGGCACCAGGACAAATTATAGTAACTAGTCCTGATCCAAGGACGGTTCCTCTAATCACGAAGCCTGAGATGCACCAAAATACAGTTGAGCGGTGGGGAAAAAAATCACGTCTTTATAGTGAAAGCCCCAGAGGCCCAGCTTTCATCTGCCGTGCAGATGCAGGCACATACATGAACAAAACCACACAGAGAAACTGCACGCTTGACATGAGAAAGGGGATGTGACACATGTAGCCATTTACCCCGTGTGTGCGACTGGGGAAGGATGGGCCACAGGTTGCTGCGACTGTAAGAAATCTTTTGCATCATCTGCTCCTCTGTACCACGGCTGTTTGTTTTTCTCCCCCAAACTGTCAGCCTGAGGTGCTTTACTACATGTGTCCACGTCCAGCTCTTCTCTCCCTCTCTCTCATTCTGGTTCTCCAGTGCTGAGGGAGCAGCATCGGGGTTGCAGATGCTGCATTTCACTGCACTCAGAGCAAACCAAAAAGATTTGCATCAAGATTATTTAAAATGCGTACCTCTAGAAAGCAAAATGCTATCCAGCATATCTGAACTGCTCCAGCCTCAATGCAACAGAATCTAAATCGCTTGGAAAAAAGGCACAGCATCAGGGTGACACTCTATGATCAGTATGTACTCATTCTCAACCTTCAGAAAGCTCCAGATTTTCTTCCTGCATTGCGAACCAACGAGAAGCAAAGGTCAGAAGCACAGCCTGTCCAGCCACCTAGATGTTTTTTCTTTCCAAATTTCCCCGGAACGCACAGTTTACGTAAGCCATGCAGTGTTTAAACCACCCGCGACTGAAGCCTCAGTAAAACTCTGTAGCGTGTTTCAGTAACTTACGTGTGTGATGGAGCCATTCCCAGGCAGCTCCAAGTTTTCAAGCCATGGAAATTCACTGCCTTGTGCCTTGAGCTGAATCTAACCTGAGCCTTCTGGTGCGGAAGGTAAAAATCACCTATCAAAATGCAAAATATAATCCTCTCATACTGCTTACACTCTTTTGTATTTTAGTCAAAAAACACGGCAGATCGGGTAATTCTTCCTGTGGGTTCTCCAGCTATAAGAAAGACCCGCTTCATATCCGAGAGACTACATTTACCATCGGTGTGACCCTGACGGCTTCCCCAGCACGGCGAGGACCAGAGTTGGTCTCACGGATGGCTGTGAACGCCGAAGGACCGACCCCCCCGCGGATCCGAAGCGGCTGAGATGGGCTGAGGGAAGCTGCGCCTGAGGGGGCCACAGCGTGCCCCCCTGCCCACCCCCCCCCGACCCCACCCTGCGTTGCCTTTACCTGTGCTCGATGCTCCCCGACCGCAAACTGTATCACGGCGATGCCTGGGCTATGGCTGTCTTCAATCCTCTCCACAGTGCTGGAGTCTATTTTCAGGTCGTTGCTAATTTCCGCGCTCTGTATGAAGTCTTCCGTTTTCAAGTCCTCCACTTTCTTCAGCTCCCCGTTGGCCAGCTGAATGATCGACCCCTTCATGAAGTAAGGGGGCAGCGTGGGAGGCGCGGCGGCGGGGGAAGCGATGGACTGCACCACGGGCAGGTGGATCTGCGCCTGCACCATGGTGGCCTGGTAGGCGGGCTGGGTGGTGAGGGGCTCCGCGCTGAAGTTCTCGCTCTTGGGGACGGCGGTGGTGACGAACGTGTGAGGCACTGCTGCAAACTGAGGGGACGACGTGACGATGGCGGGCGCGACTCCCGACGGCTCGACGTCCGCACTGCCGACCGGTATCAGCAGGGACTGGGTGCCGGGGATCACCAGGTGCTGCGGCAGGCTGCCGGGGTACCCGATGGCTTGCTGCTGACCGCTCAGGTAGCCGATCACCGGCGGCTGGGTCCCGGCGTAGAAGGCCGTCGCCGGCAGCCCGACGGGGAGTTGCTCGGAGGCGCTGTGGGTGGTCTGAATGACGGTGTGAGGGGACAGCGTGGCCACCGCCTTCACCCCTTCGTGGCCCAGAGCCTGCTGCGGAGACAGGGCGTAGGACCGGTGGGCTGGCTTTCCTAAGTGCAAGCTTCCCTTGTCGTTGAGGGCTGAGGGAGAGGTCTCGCGGTTGGTGGCCTGCTGCACCTCCATGTCCGCGGTGGGCGTGCTGCTGTTGGGGACCACCATGACGGAGGCTCGGACACCTGAGGAATCCCGCGCGCCGTACTCGGCGGGGCTCGAGTGGACCACCACGTGCCTGGTCTCGTAATGATGGGGAGCTGGTTTATTGCCTGCTTTGACTAGACCCATGTCGGCCGAGGGCGAAATGCCGTACCTCCGGCTCTTCTCTATCTCGCCGTTCAGTACCTCCTTGGCCTGCATCGCCTGCAGCCGGCTGCTCTCGGGCTTCTTGGGGGGATCCCTGGTGACGAAGTGGCCCCCCGAGTCGGTGTATTGCACCACCACCTGGGAGGAAGGGCCGAGGGTGAGGGTGTGCGGGATCACTGTCTGATGGGGGTGCAGGGGGACCGGGATGGTTGGAGGAGAGACGTTCCTGACGGTGCTCTGGGAAGAGCTGGAAATGTGGACGTACTGGTTCTGCTGGGTGGGTGGAGGAGACCCGGCGGAGATCAGTCCAGGCGTCCTGACCAGGTGCGGCTCAACTTTGTGCCCCTGTTGGCTTAAGCCGCTCATGCTGGCCAGCAAAGTGGAATAGGCCTCCAGCTGGGAGCGCTGGGATGGAGTGGTCGCGACGGCCGTGGCCGCCGCCACGGCGCCGGTTGCAGAATTGGCTGTTGGGGAAATCAGCTGCGAGGGGATGAACCCGGTGTACGATCCGCTGTACTGGGGCCCGACGAACTGGAAGGTGTGTTGCAGGTGCGTGTACTGCACGGGGGAAACGGGGGTCCCTGACTGGGAGAGGGCGGGCGAGTACACTGTGGGAAGAGTGGTGGAGGCTGGAACGGACCTGGGCGCGCTCGGCGGGGAATAGTCCAGCCCTGCAGACAGCGATTTGTGCAAACCCTGCTGCAAGCCTGCCTCCACCGACGACGTCCCCCCCGGCCGGTGCCGGCCCCCCAGGCCGCCCTGGCCGCCGGGTGTGCTGGGGAGCCATGCTAGGTTATCTGCACGGTGGTTTTCGTTTGGCAGGACCGGCTTCACCTCCGAAGGCAGGCTGGTGGCAGGGATTTCTCGCTTCTTAGGTGGCAGGCATTCATTGCTCCGCTCTTGGTTGGATTTCATCTTTCGCCGTCCCCCCTCCACTGTGCTTGCTTCACTGTCTGGCTGGCTCTGATTTCAGTCTGATAAACGGAAAGTCACATTTGATTTCTGCAAGGGATCCAGTGACTTCATGAGGAATCATCTCCCCGTGAGCACAATCCTCCGACAGCTCCTCTGGATTCTGCAATGAGAGGGTGGGCAAGGGAGGGGGGAGTCACATCGTCAGCGCTGAGAAATGAGAACAAACGAGCAGACACCCCAAAACAGCAAGCAAGAAAAAGTAAAACTTTAGGGGAAAAAAAAAAAAAAAACAAACCAAAAATGGCCAGGCATTGCCGATCTCCTTTCAAGGAGCGGTTGATAGCTGCGCTGCAAACAGCAGCAAAAATCCTGGGCATGTCTGCTAATGCATCAGGAAAACGATTAAACCTGTAGGCAGATCAGAAACTCTCTGGCCATAACTTGCCACATTTAGCATCGGCAAATTATTTCCCAAGGCTTGCTTTCTCCTTCCTATGGGAAAACCCTCCGTGTCTCTAAAGTGCCCAGTTCGTTCTTCCAGCCTCTCCATCCCCTGCCACGATGATGTTGCCTTCACCCTGCTGTGTCCTAAGAAGCACGGGAGCGTGGCAGGGCGCCCTGAGGAACATGCATGCGCAAAATATTTACATTAGCAACAAGCAGCTGGTTTGGAGCGCAGAGGGAAAATGGTGGGTCACTCCTGAACGCCAGAGTCACCCACAGGGTGACTTCACGTCACGCCAGACAGGGCCGCCGAGGCGGCAGCTCTCCCCTGTCCCCGCTCCACGCCACGGCTCATTACGGGCACACGTGCCCTTCATCTGCCAGCCTGGCAACGAACCTCGTCCACGCAATCTATTTACAGCAGCAGCCCAGAGCCAGAGGAGGCTCTGAGCCAGGTTTTTCATGTGTGTTTGTTGTTTGGTTTTGTTCCTCTCCCGCCCCCCGCAGTGCTTTGAACTCCCTCTGCTCTGGACACCTCACGCTCAGGTGCCCAGGCAGGACTCTGTGCTGGGAGATGCTTCCCACCGTGCACAGGCTGGCCGGAGCCAGGCGCTGGCACCATCTCCACCGTCTCCATCTCTGGTGGGATCCGATCCCCCGATTCCTCAGCGACTGCCAGACCAGGGAGGCTGCAGGTACCACACTCACAGCCACATCCACACGTCCAAACGCTGGGCAAACTCGGCCAGGACCATTGGGAAAAGCACGTTTGGGTTTCCTGATCCAAACCAGGTGCCCCCACCCCTGTAAAAGCTCATGACTTTATACTGGGCTAATTTTGCTATAGGAGGAAAACAGTTTCTTTCTCTGGTCTGCATCACTTAATTCGGTGACTTTAGCCACCCAAAGGCAACAAAGTCAACAAAGTCTTCCTAACTCTTTCACTACCTGCTAAGGAAAATACCGTAACTAAAACACATCACCTTTTGAAAAAAAGCAAAAGGAGCTGACAGGCTTCCTGTACCTTCCCGAAACCTACCTCGCCTTGTCACACAGCAAACTTTATGGAGAGTGAAACTCTTCCCCAGCCCCTGTCCAACTACTGCTTGTCATCTGTGTTGCTGGCTGTTTTGAAAGATATGCAAGAATGGGTGCTGAGGAACCGTGCACCCTGCACGACCCAGCATCCTAACAAGAAAAGCATGCATTATATGAAAGAAAAATGGAGACAGAAAGAATTAAAAGAGGATGTGAAAGAAGATGGAAATAGGATATACACCACTTTAAAGTCAATGCAGAGCAGCAGTAATGATATTTATCTTATGGCAAGTAATATTCCTTTGGGGGATTTCTTTCCCTGCTGCCTCACTCCTAATGAACAATAAGCCTGGTGCTTATATGCATATGCAGTCCATTGAAAACATACCAGACTAGGATTAAACCTATCTTTAAGAACACTCTTTACGTTTATGGTCCTTCAAGCTGCTGTAAGCCTGCAGGAAAAGTGCAAACCTTCTAATGGTTTGATACAGTCTTAAGTTAATTATTCTGTTGTTTAAATATTGATAAACAGTAATGAAGCTCCAATAGCCACAGAGCCAGGGGCTGAGGGGGGGTAAAGCGCTGTTTTGGGGCAGATTCCTTGGCTTTGAGGTGAGAGGAAGGACAAAAGGACTCAGGGCAACTCCAAGAGAGCAAGGGCCAGCGATGCGTCGAGCGCGGCGGCACCCGCCGAGCAGCCGCTCGGCACGGCTACCCCGACCTGCCCCGACCCGCCGGCAGCCGCCTCGGCGCTGCCTCCGCGGTCGGACGAGGGCAGCCAGGACACAGGGTCCCCGCTCTATCAGCACGGGTCTTCCCCCTCCTCCCAACAGTTGCTCGGTGTGTCTTGGCAACAGCTAAAATTATTATATTACACATGACTTACAGATTTTTATTTTTAAGTTCGACTAAAAATAAAATCGCCGAGCTCACATTTGCGCAGTCATCCTTGGTTAACTTTAGCTCACTGTAGCCTTCTGCCCTGGGCAGTTGGCTTTGGCAGGTAAATCAGCAGCTCCTGGCTGGGGCGGCTGCCCGGGGACGTCGCGGGGGGACGCCCTCAACCTGGGGTGCTCGTCCCGCTCCCCTCGCCACGGGGAGCTCGCGCTGGGCTCGCACCGTCCTTCCATCTCTCGTGGAGATGGACATGAGCTGCAAACCCAGAATTTAAATACACTCCCCATGGGGAAAAGCTGGGAGCAGTGGGCCCCTCTGCCTGCAACGGAGCAGGGAGGTTGTTCATGGGACCGAACAGGGACATCTCTTTTGCTGTGATGGATAAACCGGGCTCCCAAAACGAAAAGCCCGAGGTGTCTGGGTCCAGCTTCTCTGCATCAAAAGTACTACTATAAAGCTGTATGAAACCTGTTGAAGTTTCACTCTGCAGGAGCTGAAGCAAAGGTTTTGTTCTGCTAAATAGCATTGAACCACTGAGTTTTGGGTAGCCGCCAACGACAAAGCTAACATTCTTCAAAAATACCAAATACCGAATCTTTTGGGTTCTGAGGGTTTTTTTCTGGTGTAAATCTTTCATAGGGCTGACTTCAGCATCACTGGTAACAAAAGGGCTGCCCAAAACCTCCTGGAGAGCACAGGAGGAATGAACAAGCTTAACGGAGACAAGGGATAAGACAGCTGTAGAGCCGTGAAGACTGCCCCACTTTTCCAAGCCCAAGTACTTCTCGGTGAGACTTTGAACTCTAGCAGACACAAGGCTGGATTTGCAAAAATGCAAATGCGCAGCATAAAACAGCCTACTTCTACTTCAAAACTTAAAAGTAAAGTGGTATGTTTTCAGCACAATTCAAGTTCCAGCAACAGTAGAGATAAGACAGGACTGATTTAGCTCAGGAAGAGAAATGAAACGGAGACAACCCAAACAGAGTGTCTCAAAGGCAAGAGGTACAAGACCTGGTTAAACTGTTATTTGCTGGCTGTCCTGGAAAGACGAACGCCTGCTCTCTGTGGTGTGCTGCGGGGTCTGTTATTTGTATGCTTCTTTTTTTTGGATCCACATCGTTTTTCTGACTCTCAAAATTTCCCTTCTCTTTAACTTCAGAGCTGTCGATCACCATTTTCAAGATATGCAAACAAGCTGCAAACACCGGGTGATTTTTTTGCTCCTGCTTTGTACGTGTGTGTGTGTGTCACTCAAGTGTGTGCGTGCGTGCACGCGTGTGTAATTATGGCTGGGAAGGTAAAGGGGACAAAGAGATCAGGGACAGCAGCTGGACTTTGGTATCTCTGGCAGCGAGTACACATGGAACATTGCTAAAGCGTCTGGACAGCCAGTGTCCGCTGGCAGCCTGCCCACACTCAAATTCCTGGAAAGGCTTAAGGCAGAAAAATAATCACTTGGAGGAGTCACCATCTGGGCTTGCTCTGGTCCCAAAGGGATTGCTCACTGGAGCTCAGGATGTGCATTTTTCATGCAAAACTCCAGCGTCTCTCTGCAAGGCACTTTAAACCTCACTATGTCTCCCAAACCAGTATTTTTCTACTTATTTCATCTAATAAATTTAAAACTCATGAGAGGATACTGGGTTATAGCTTGAGGGGCTGACCTCCTTTATTTTGGAGGCAACACAAGCCTCCAAACACACTGTGATCATACGCCGTGTCCCACCACCCAGGACTGAGTCTTGGGGTGCACAGAAGTTGGGGCCAGACTCACGAACTGCAGCAGCACTTGGCTATGCAAACGGTGGGTCTTTCACTGCCTTCAGAAATCAGGCACTTTTTGCAGTCCCGTGATGTAGATAACGTCATTTTTAGGTTTCTAAAACACCTTCAAAAATCTGGTCCCTCCTCCTCTCTGGTCCCTGATGTTTCTGCAGTTGCTAACAAGCTCACAGCCACCAGGAGCAAGGGCTGGGACCACCCCCTCATTGGCCTTATTGTGTGGAGCCCCCCGGGGGGGCAGCCGTCAACCTCCGACTTCTGGGGTATTCAAGTCAAACCAGCCACTTATTGTCGAAAGGCTCCTTTGATCCCAAACCCTAATAACAGACAGGTTATTACGACTTTTCAACTTTCACCTTCTGGCTCCAGGAATGACCAGTAAATTCTCACATTTATACCTGCAATAAAAAAACCTGGGTCTCCCCTCTGTTAGAAACCATTGCCCTGCCTGGCAAGTAGACATCAACGCAATATTCAGAGAGTACACCAACAAGAATAAACCTCTGAGTTGAGACGGACACACAGCTCTTTATGTCTGGGGTGTTACCGGGCAGAAGCAGCAGCACAGTCTGATGCTGCCTCCTCAAGCTGCCTGCCCATCCCATCCCATCAGGATGAGCAGGTAATTTCAGCAGCACTGGAAATCTGTTGGAAAGGAGGGCACTTTGTCCCAGCTCCCCTCTCCAAGGAGGCTGGCATCCTGCAGGATCAGATTCAGGGAGATTGAGAGACAGACACATTGCAGAGGGCTCCGCAGCTGCATTCTGGCTCTCAGATCTATATGCCAGCTTTTCCCCCAGCTCCACACCCTGCCCGCTGCCAGCTACATATTCCGAGTTGTAACTGCTACGGATTTCATTAGCCCTGCCATGTGCAGCTCAGCGCATGCCAACAATAGCTATAGGAGTTTATTGTCCAATCCGACCAATTTCACAGCTCTCTGGCAGATTTCCCAGGAGGGCCAACTGCAGAGATCCATTAATAAGAAACATG